AACAAAGGTTTACACAATCTCTCTTAATCTCAAAACAACTCATAGGGTTACCACAAACTAGGTACCTCTATTTATACAAAACCAAAAGTCCTAAACACACTAGGATTTGATAACTCCTAACCTAGCTAAATCTTATCCCAAATCTATTAACTAAACCGACTTATTTAGTTTAATCTTGGGCCTTAAGTCTTCTTAAGGTTTATCAAGTTTGCACAACATTCTCCCCTTCAAACTTGATATCTCCAATCTCCACATCATGAACACCTGTAAGTTCCCTCATTTCTTTGAACTTAATCCGTCCCAATGCCTTAGTTAAAATGTCTGCCTTTTGTGCATCCCCGGGAACATGTTCTAGCTCAATTTGATCATTCTCAACACATTCCCTAATAAAATGATACCTTTTATGAATATGTTTACTTCTGCCGTGAAACACAGGATTCTTGGCAAGTGCTATAGCGGATTTGTTATCTATCCGGAGTAATACTTTGTCACATGTTTCTCCCATAACCTCACTCAGAAGATCCTGCAACCATATCGCCTGTTTTGCTGCTTCTGTTGCAGCCATGAATTCTGCTTCGCAAGATGATAAGGCTACTGTGTTCTGTTTCTGCGTACACCATGTAATAGGACAATTATGTAGATAGAAAATGTGGCCTGTAGTGCTTCTACCATCGTCCTCATCTACATTATGACTGCTATCACTATAGCCTAGGAGTCTTGTTTCAGGTTTAGGTTCTGTCTTTCTAGCAAATGTTAAACCATAACCTGTTGTTCCTTTCAAATATCTGAGAATTTGCTTGAGTGCTGTACCATGAGATTCTTTGGGCTCATGCATGTATCTGCTTAACACACCAACACAAAAGGAGAGATCTGGCCTAGTATGTAGCAAGTATCTCAAACATCCAATACTTCTCCTATACTCTGTTTCATCAATATTTTTTTCCTCTGATGCCTTGCTTAGTTTCAGATTTGCATTCATTGGTGAGTGAACCGCATTACATCCTTCCATTCTGGTTTCACTTAGTATCTTTGATGCATACCTCTCTTGTTTCAGAGTAATGCCTCCTGCATGTTGATGTACCTCTATACCTAGATAATAAGTCAATTTTCCCAAATCGCTCATTTCAAACTTTGTTGCCATGCCCCTTTTAAACTCAAGTATCACATCCAAGTTTGAACCCGTGATTAACAGATCATCTACATACACAACAACAATGAGAAGATGATCTTTATCCTGTTTATGGTATAAGGATGGTTCTTTAGAACATTTGATAAACTTCAATTCCTTAAGAATAGAGTTTAGCTTATTGTTCCAAGCTCTTGGAGCTTGTTTTAAACCATATAGAGCCTTATGTAATTTGTAAACCTTGGTTTCACTCCCTTTTATCTCAAATCCCTCTGGCTGTACAACAAACACAACTTCTTTCAACTCTCCATGGAGAAATGCAGTCTTTACATCTAAGTGATGAACCTCCCATCCATTTGACGCAGCTAAAGCAAGGATAAACCTAATAGTCTCAATGCGTGCTACTGGTGCAAACACTTCTTCAAAGTCAACTCCATATCTTTGAACATATCCTTTTGCCACAAGGCGTGCCTTGTATTTGTTTATGCTTCCATCAGAGTTGCGTTTTATTTTAAAAACCCATTTTAGACCAATTGCTTTTGCTCCCTTTGGAAGATCTACTAGACTCCAAGTTTTGTTCTTGTTTATTGAACTGATTTCCTCATCACAAGCATCTCTCCATTCTTTTAACTCCTTTGCTTCTTTATAATCCCATGGTTCTTCATTTAATGTTAGCAAGAGATGCTCAATTATTTCATATTCAGCTTCAGCTAAGAGTACATAGTCATTTAGATACCCTGGTTTATGGCTCTGTCTCTCAGATCGTCTTAAGGCTGGTTGCATTGGGGCCTGTTCTTGGTTTTCAGTTTCTTCTAAAGATGTTTCAGAAGTATTTTCAGAAAAATCATTCTCTTTATCTAAAGCTTCATTAGTATTTTCATTTTCTTCTACTCCTGTTTCTTCTGTTCTGTTTTCTGTTTCTGAAGCTTCTTCTCTTAGACCATGATTTCCGTATTCTCCAAGTCTGAGTTTGAACATTCCAGGAACATTATCACTCTCATCTTTTCCTGAATGATTCCAATTCCAACTTCTTTTCTCATCAAAGACTACGTCTCTACTTACCACAATTCTCCTTTTTGCTGGATCCAATAATCTATACGCTTTGGATCCAGGTTCTGTTCCAAGATGGACTAAAGCTTTTGATCGGTCATCAAGTTTCTTCAAGTGCTGTGTTTCAGTCTTTGCATAACAAATACATCCGAATACTTTCAAATGTATGATGTTTGGTTTCTTTCCTTTAAATGCTTCATATGGAGTTTTATCTTTTAAAGTTCTTGTTGCCACTCTGTTTATGAGGTAAGTAGCATGTCTCACTGCCTCTCCCCATAGATGATTTGGCATTTTCATATGCTTTAGAATGCTCCTAGTCATCTCAAGTAAAGTTCTATTCCTTCTTTCTACTACACCATTCTGTTGTGGTGAGTATGGAGCTGTTAAATGTCTCTGAATACCTGAATTATCACAGAAACTTTGAAATTCATGAGAGGTAAATTCTCCACCTCTATCAGTTCTGAACGTCTTTATTCTTGTTCCAGTGTCCTGCTCGATTAGAACTTTGAATTTTTTAAATTTTTCAAATGCTTCACTTTTCTCCTTCAGAAGCAATGACCACATATATCTGGAGTAATCATCTATTAGTACAAAGATATACTTGTTTTGTGCGGCTGTGGAGGGTGTAATTGGTCCACACAAGTCTCCATGTATGAGTTCCAATATGTGTGAAGCTCTGTATGATGTAGCCTGAGGAACGCTTTGTCTTACTTGTTTTCCTAGTAAGCATGAAGAACATGTTTCCTTTTCAACTGTTATACTAGGTAAACCAATGACTAACTCTTTACTTATCATAGACTTCATAGTATCTAACCCTATGTGTCCTAATCTTGCATGCCACTTTGCTGAGTCACTAACTTCTTCTATTTGTAAACATTTTGTTGGTTCAACTTTCATAAGAACCTTGTACAGTCTGTTCTTTGATCTCTTAGCATTTACAAGTAGTCTACCTTGTTGGTCATGTATTGTTAGTTGCTCATCTTTCATCCTAATATCACAGCCTGCTTTTGTGGCCTGTCCGAGACTTATGATACTGCTTCTTAGATTAGGTATATAGTACACATCTGCAAGTACTTTTCTTTCACCATCCTTGCTTACAAAGAGAATTGATCCTTTTCCTTTAATATCTATGCATGAATCATCTCCAAATCTCACTTTTCCTGTGATTGTTTCATCAAGTTTAGAGAAATACTCTTTGTTTCCTGTCATGTGGTTGCTTGCACCATTATCTAAATACCAGGTATTGTCACCATCCTTCTGAATCTCAAATTTGTCTGGCTTTACATTTTTTTCGTTTAAGTAGACTATTTCATGCATCATTAGTCTATCAGCTTCTTGAGTTTCGTCTTCATCATTCTCCAGTGTTTCTTGGAGTTTTAGTAGTCTATCAGGACAATTTGAAGCATAGTGTCCACTCTTATCACATCTGTAACATATGACTTTAGTTTTATCTTTTCCTTGTCTAACAGAACCATTCTGTTGAGTACCAAATCGTCCTCTGCCTCTGCCTCTGAAACTAGATCCTCGGCCTCTTCCTGAACCATAGTTTTCTTGATAGGTTTGTGATTCTGAGTTAGCATACATGAGCTTTCCTTGATCATCATGTTGATCTTCTTCATCACATACTCTGTCTTCATATACTTTTAGTCTTCCGACTATTTCTTCAAAACTTGTTGTCTTTAAATCGAGTACTTGTTCAAGAGAAGCAACTATGTGAATGTATTTCTTACGAGGTACACTTTTAAGAAATTTCTTGACAAGTTTTGGTTCCTCAATGCTTTCCCCTAATGTAACTGCTTTTGTTGATATTTCAGAAAGTTTTCCGGCAAATTCTTCTATTGTCTCTGTTTCTTTCATCTTTAGTTTATCGAATTCAGCCATTAGAGTTTGCAATCTTGCTTCTTTTACCCTTTCAGCACCTAGGTTTCTTGTTTTGATTGCATTCCAGACTTCTTTTGCAGTTTCATAATCTCCCACTCGAAGAATCATTGCTTCTGGTATAGATTGAAACAAAAGAACCTTAGCCAAATCATTCTTTTCTACATCGTCGTTTCCTGGTTCTATTGTATCCCAAACTTTATGAACCCTAAGTACTCCTCTCATTCGCATGTTCCATGCAGTGTAGTTTGATGTGCTAAGCATCGGGCACTGTATAGAAGAACTAGTCTCCTTGTTCCTAGCTGGAACCGGGATTATATCAGCCATGCTTCACCTTTAACGAACTCTGTTCGTAGCGTGTAAAGCTTTCTTTTAGATCCTAGGTTACTCAATCCAAGAGTATGGCTCTGATACCAAATATTGAATTAAGAACTAAGGACCAAAACCTAATGATCAAGACTTTGTGTTTATAAGAACAACTCTTCTTATTACCTTTGAAACTTACTCAAAACAAAGGTTTACACAATCTCTCTTAATCTCAAAACAACTCATAGGGTTACCACAAACTAGGTACCTCTATTTATACAAAACCAAAAGTCCTAAACACACTAGGATTTGATAACTCCTAACCTAGCTAAATCTTATCCCAAATCTATTAACTAAACCGACTTATTTAGTTTAATCTTGGGCCTTAAGTCTTCTTAAGGTTTATCAAGTTTGCACAACAGTTTCGTTTCTAAGACATAGTAATTTTTTTTTTTTTCCTGGCTCGTGAATTCACATCTATTTTTTTCAACGCTTTTATGACTTTTATCACACTTTTAAGGGTAAGAGCCTAAAATCATTGGTGAGATAGGAATTTTGAATAAATTCAAATAATAGAGATAACTTAGATATAATAAGAGTACATGTTTTATGAGGGTGGATCAAGTTAATAACGGGAAGACACAAGGGCATTTAAGTAAATTCATGGTCCGTAGACGTATGGTCAAGCCCGCTTTGGTGTTACGTGAAGTGTTGGCTCCTATATAACCTCGTCTTCTCCAACTTGTTCTTCCCCATAAATCTGATAATCAATAAATACTCAAAAAATAAAGAGAAAGCAGAGGAGAGAGAGATGGGAAACAGCCTAAGGTGTTGTCTGGCTTGTGTTCTTCCATGTGGAGCACTAGATTTGATCAGGATCGTTCATCTAAACGGCTACGTTGAGGAGATCACACGGTCAATAACTGCCGGAGAGATCCTCCAAGCAAACCCAAACCATGTCCTAAGCAAACCATGTTCTCAAGGAGTTGTCCGCAAAATCTTGATCTTGTCCCCTGAATCTGAGCTCAAGCGAGGAAGCATCTATTTTCTCATCCCTGATTCTTCCTTGCCGGAGAAGAAAAGGAGGAGAAAGGACGCTCCTCGCCGGAAAAAGACTCTCAACAACCCTAGTGCCGACGCCACCGGAGAAGTTAAAGGTGATGATGAATGTGTGAAGTTGTGTGAGAAGTACTTAGAAGAAGTTGTGTCGTCGGCGTCGACAGGTAAAGAGCACCGTCATCGCCGGCGGCACAGCAGATCGGCGTCAGTATCCACGTGGCGGCCTCTCCTTGACAGTATCTCTGAGGATCTTAATTAATTCCTCTTCCCTTTATTTTTTTTTGTTGCTTCTAGCTAATGGTGTTTTTTGTCCGGAAGCCGGATTTTTATTTCTGAGATAACATTCTCTTTTTCATTTTTTTCTCTTCTTTTTTTCTTTTGGTTTTTGGGGAAAATTTCACGAAAGAGTTATAGAATGTGGATAAGATCTGTGTTAAAATGCTATTGTAATTTTTAGTCACCTGAGAATTATACTCATTAATCGAAAGCGAACACATATTGTTGAACGTTAGTATAAATTACATGGAATAATAATAAAGAAAGCGAACGGTGATACTCATTAATCAAAAGCGAACACATATTGTTGAACGTTAGTATAAATTACATGGAATAATAATAATAAAGAAAGCGAACGATTAAAGGAAAATTTAAAATGGAATTGAATCAAAGAACCAGCCTTGTTTCAATTATAAATTAAATGAATTTCTTTTTTTGGGATACCAAATTATCAATGAAATAGTTTATTGGGTTGTACTGATTAAAGTAGCTAGGAAAGTGTGTGTGATCGAATTGTAGACTACAAAAGCATCATCAATGAAATGAGTAATACTTATGATAAAATCTGTGTTTAACGGAATTACTACTTTGAATGATTAGACTTAATTGTATAAGCTGGGTTGTTATTAAATATTAATAATTAATAATAATAGTTAGTGCGCAGGTTTTCACATGTAAGTTGACCAATCGAAAAAAGCCTTTGAAACTGAAATAAAAACCATGAGTTCCAAATTATATAAACATTAATCATATAAATAAAGGGAAAACAACTTGTAGTGTTAGCCATATGTGGACAAGAAAATGAATCAATGATTATGCATTAGAGAAAAGAAGTAAATGAACAATTTCATCTTCTCATGTATGTGTATAGATTTGTTTTTCAACTTTTAGCTGCCGGTATTTAAAAATCATATATACACGCGTTACTCAAAAAAAAAAAAACGATATTTAAGATTCTAAGATTCGACTCGCCTAAACATGTCAGCTGTGGTAATGCAGTTGTTAGTGTTTGCAAAAAAAATTATTTCACAAATTAACACCTAATAATATATTTGCAAAAGTTTGATGGATTCTTCGGCTGGAATATAAAAATATAAAGAAGTTCATAATTTTGTAATTGGACAAAAGATTGGAGATGACAACTGCAAGTTAAGATATTTATAGAAAAATGTAATTATTGCAATAAAATATCAGACTAAAGACTATATTATTCTCCTTCTTATTATTATTAAAAGATTTTAAAAACAAATGATCCCAAAACAAAGATAAATGAAAGCTGGCGAGCCCATCTGAATCAGCTGCCTTCACATGGATACCTTCTTATATGCCCCATCTCTATTAGACATCATTTTCTTTTTTTTTTGTTTATCACTCTTTCTTTTTCTTCCTCTATATGGTCGACGATTTACTTTTAATATTTTGTTTGTATAATAATGTGAATGCAACTATCAATACATTACTATTTTGGTCCAAACAACCCATCTTCTCCATACGCCTGAGCCATTAATGCTTCCATTTTTTTTGTTTAAACTAAATAAATTACTACTCCCTCCGTTTCAGTTTAGTTGTCGTTTTATAATTTAAATTTTGTTGTCGTTTTAGGTTTTCAATGCAAATGTTTGGTGAAAATTCCACTTATATCCCTACTGTTTTAATGTTTTGGCCAATAAATTTTTTTATAAAATATATTAATAAAGGGTATAACAGAAAATTAAATGCTTTTCTTAATTTGTGTGAAAAAACCTTAAACGACAACTAAAACGAAACGGAGGGAGTATAACTTTTGAAAATAAAAAACTATGTACTGTATGCTTAGCTAGAAGATGCCAACTTTTTACTCACTTAAGTCTCACGTTTACTTGTAAATTTTTCTCCAAAGTCGAAACTTAGGTTTTCATCAAACACCATGACCAATTTAATCTCTTATGCTTTGTTGGTTTGTACCATGGTAAATCAAAGATAAATTCTTATAATCGAATTAAAATGACATTTGTTATGTTTCATAAGTTGAGGGTTTTTTTTGTTTTTGGTATAAGAGACATACTTATCAAGTATCTACCGCCAAACCTTAACGTAGTTCATGTAATTTGAATAGGAGCGACGACGTGTAATTAAATTTTAGTGAACCAATCGTTCTCACAATGATCCGACGCTACGTACTCTCTCACATCGAAAGCATGACACGTCCGTTGTTTCTGTCCACATAATAGCAACTTTGAGATCCTCACATCTTGGGAATAAACGATCACACTTTCGGTTTCTTGAAAATAATAAACTTCGGGGAAAATATAGCGTTAATGAATGTTCAATGCGTATATTACAGCTTTCTTTTGAAAACATATGTTTAGATAACATGTCTGAAATTAATTATTAAGTAAAAGAAAAACATGCAGTTATAGAGTAAATCCACCTTTATATGTGTGGTGTGGCGGGACTGCGATCTCATATTAAAGGCACATCTCAATCAAATCTATTTTTATGAGATTTATGTTTTATAAATTAGGTTCTGCTAGTACAAGTGTACAACAGACAGATTGATTAACATTTTCAGAATAGTTAGGTGATATTGACATATTTGGCAATTGTCATGACTGATTTGATGCTGATCGCTCTGTTGATAAACTATGAGTGTGATTGGAAGACATCGATAGAAGAAAAGAAAAAAGTCGAATTAGTTTTCTTCTACATTTACACTAGTCAAGAAGAAAATGTTTTATTCTCAATTCATCTGAAAAAGCCAAAAAGTAGGAAAAATTTTCCCTCTACAAAACTGAAGTATAAATAATTCTTCTTTTGATCAAAAAAAAAAAATAATTCTTCTAAAAATGTATTTTCTTCTCAATTCTACTTAAATTTTCATCAGTCACACCCTATTTTCTTTACGCGGATGCCTAATTCTTGTGTATTGACTAACTTTTCCTATGGAACATCAATTATCTGTTTTTTTTTCCAGTTAAAATGAGAATTACATCCATTATTTATGTTTAAATTGAAAAAAAAAAAAAACTAATTAACGGTTGCTGTGAAGATCAACAGAAGTAAATCCGTCTTCAACAGAGAAACGTGGGTGCACTCTTGGATCCCCAACCCTAGGAGGCGAAACTGGCAATTTATAGCTATTATCCATCGCTAGAGAATCTCCTTCTTGTTGATGAATCACTAGCACCGAGAAATGAAAATCCGACGACGCAAACATGTCTCCGATCACACCTAGCTCAGGACACTCGCTCCAGTCTGTCAGTCCATACAATACCGACGAGTCAAGGTCATGGTCACGACCCACAACCACCAGATCGTATGAATCCCCTAGTGAACTAATCACTTGCGTGGTTTCCACGCCATCTCTCACTATCTCTTCTCTGTAACTGATTTTCGGTTTGTTCATTGCGAAATTCTTGAAATCGTTTATGAGGTAAGATTCTGAGAATTCAGATTCCGTATCTATTGCGTGGTTTTGTTGGAGGGAGCTCTTGTGGCGGAAATGGATCATCGTGACGCTTACTTCTGGGTGCTCTGCGATTCTCATGGAGAAAGCTAGGGCTTCTGCGTCGTCTCGGCCTTCTATGAAGATCACTGCGACGTTTCGCCATGTGTAGCTCATGAGGACAGAGCGGCGGCCTTCTGTTTCTCCTCGATCGATGAATATTCCAACCGAACAAGGTGCCTTTTCTAGCACATTAAGGTTTATGTTACGGATTGATGGGTTCACGTTGTCTACCGTCCCGTCTATCGCGTACTGTTTATGAAACGGGATGACGATGAGCGTCGCTTTCTTGTCGAGGGCGAGAGTGCAAATGTCATCGTTGATGCTAGAGAATGGAGCTGCTGCTGTGAAATGCTGAGCCATTAGGGTTCCTTGGTTCTGTTGTTCGAATCGTTGGAAACCGTTGACGATGTGAGTGGATTGAACTGTGTTGGGATCGAGTTTGTTCATCTGGTGATGCGGTACAAGCACCGCGTGGGCTCGGCCTTTTAGCTCGACGAGGTGGAGTGTGAAAACAGAGATCGGGCTGAACCTACTCGGGTAAGAAGCTTCTAGAAGATTAACCATGGAAGGTACGTTTTCGACGTTGTAGACGCAGAGTAGGAGCCGGAACTGAAGGTTTCGTTGTCTCGTATTGAGGATCGTTCGCTTACTCTTGCTTCTGTAGCGTTTCGATGGGTCATAGAGGCAAACTACGAGGAACCGCGATATCCCAGTCACGAGCAAGAGCGTGATGATAAGGAGATTGAAGCATTCGGTGTTTAGAACCTGCAAAATTTGATGAAAAGTTGGAAATTGTGTACATGGACCGATCTTATGTTTAGAGAAAATTTGATTATACAAACGCAAACAAACATTATAATACCCCTTATAATTAATTATACCTTTTCGTCTTTCCACATGACGCATGTATAAATCTCAATGACTCCTTGGCAACACATCAAGAGGGCCAAAGAAAATGCGTCTCCGATTTGTATGTTGCAATAAGCGGAAGCGGCTGCTGTTCCTAGGAATTTGCAGCCGTAGGTGATGAGTATCACGGCCTCAATGATCTTCACATGGCTCTCTCCAATAATGAAGAAATTGGTCTGCAATCCACTAATGGCGATGAAACAAGGGAGCATAAGGCTTGTTGCAAACATATCGAGCTTTGTTGTGAGCCCGGTCCCTAACGGAGGTCCATCCGGGAGCGATACTCCGAGCCAGAACGCTCCAAACGCCGCATGGACCCCGAGAACTTCGGAGGTCAAGCTTATCGTCAGCAAGACCATTATGATCGGGAAGAATGGGATCTCGCCTGATTTATCGATCGAAATGCTTCTTCTATCTGTCAACCAGATGATGACTGGTCTGCAGACGAAGAAAATCACGAGGATAAGAACAGCCACCCAACCGAAAGACCAAAGGCTAGATACTGTCCCGTCCCGCAAGAACATTCTGAAAACAAGTGCTACAATCCAGCTAAAGGCCTCGCAGACAATGGAGCAGTTTGTGGCTAACCGTCCAAGATCAGAGTTAAGGATGTTAAGCTCAGCTAAGACGGTTGTGGTGACCGGGAATGAGGTCATTGCATTGAGGGAGATCACTGTGCTGATGCAGTGGACAACGTCTGGCGGAAGCTTGTAAGTGTTTTTCAAAAAGAGGACAGTGAGGTTACCGAGGGAGAATGGTAAGGCGTAGGAAGCTGTACCAATGAGTATGGCTTTGGAACCAGCTTTACGAATGATGCTAGCGTCGATTCTTAGTCCAAGTAAGAATAGATGGATGAAGAACCCGAGGTTTGAGAGAGTTTGTAAAGTGATTTTGCCGCTTATGGGAAGGAACATCTGCATGTATGCGCTGCTTTGGCCAAAGAGAGACGGTCCTAGGATAATCCCAGCCTGCGTTTAAAAAATTTCGCAGAATTCATTAAAAGAGAAATAAAAAGAGCTCCAGACTCCTTAGATTAGTCTAAGTTTTGCTATGGGATTCTTCGAATACAGAAAAAAGAAAGTAATATATACAACTTATTACCAAGACTTGGGCAGAGATCATGCCTTGCTTCAAGGGCTTGAGGAGGCGGTAGAGAAGCCTTGAGGTGATGATGATGACGGACATTTGTAGCAACATAAGTGGCATTGCGTATTTGAGAGGGTCACTGCCCAAGAAAACACCCTTTGAGGTCAACATGTGGTTTTTCTGGCACACCATGTTTTCCACCAAGAAGGGCCCATGAACTTTGCCTCTCTGCATCGAGTTCACCTCCTCCAGGTCTAGCTTTGACATCGCTCTGTTCTCTTTGTGCGTACCAAAGACAATGGGAAGAACGTGGAGGAAGAGAGATTGCTCTCTAAATATGCAGAAACTAGTTGATGTGGACAGAGGTAGCTGAGAATCTCTTAGTGAGATGAAGAACAAAACAGAGGACTGTTTTATTTTATTTTGGGGAATTGTTGATTATCTTGCCATCATCAAATCTAGAATGGTTTCTAAGTTTTGTTACAAGGTCAAAGACAAAAAGGGAAGTGAGAGAAAAAGAGAGAGAGATGAAGCCTATTTGTTTGCTTCTATTTATTGACTCCGACTATTTTTTGGCTGGTTGATGTAAATAATCCATAATCTTCTCATTCTAAATTCGTGGTTTTAATCCCCCTTGAAGTCCTAATAATAAAAAGGCCTTTAAAATGAGATTTTCTCCAACCAATCACTAAATTCTTCGATTTCATCACATTCTGGTCTAAAGCTTCTAGGTCATTCACACCACTAATCGAAATTGAACCAAATAAAATAAGACCGTTTGCTTTTTAAACAGCTACAGATTAGTATATCATTACCATTCATCCGCATAACAAAACTCTGGTTTTCACTTCTTGGCAAAAGAGACGACCATTGGATTCTGTGGAGTGATCTTGAAAACCCTGAAGAGCTTGCATGGCCATGGAAGACTGAACATCGTCTTCATATTCCACAAACGCAATTCCGGGTTTTGCTTCGATCATTCTTATCTCCTTGAATCCTGTGTATTGCTCAAATAGCAGCTGAAGCATCATGCTCGTCATCTCAATGGGAAGATTATGAATGAAGAGTATGTTGTTTGGTGGCATCGTGTCTTGCCCACTCGGCTGGAAAGGAGGCTGCAAAATTGCAGAGACGGGTATTGGAATAATGCGCAAACAAGAATTTCCAGACTAAGTTGCGACAATGACGTCTGTCAGAAGATAAGGTTGTATTATTGGAATGATGCGTGAAATATAAATTACCACAGGCATTCCGTTCTGAGTAGTTGCGCCATTAGGCATGCTTGGTTGTTGAGTTTCTTCAGCATGTCGCTTCCTTTCAACTGAAAGTGATGTGCAGTTTTGTTAAACATGAGATGGAAAGTAAAACACAGATGAAATGGGCTGAAAAGATTTGAACTTGTGATGGACACGAAAGTTAAAACCTTTGTCTTCTTGCTTCATCTTCTTTTCTTTCGGTACAAAAGTCCCTTGGGCTTTAGTAACATAATCTGACTTTGATTTTGCATATTGTATCCGCTGCACCCAAGCAGATCACATATCACCATGACTTGAATAATATTGTGTAATTTCTCAAGTCTTTTACTTAGCAATCACTAGTTTAATCATACACCCTCAACATCTAATGTTGTTGTACTTCCTTCAATTTTATATAACAACAAGTATCACCAAGCAAACACAACTACCTCTCCAAGTAAATCTCTACAACTTTCTAAGCTTATAGTCTCACATAACAAGATAAGCGGGTTGGATAAACCTGGAACATAAGAGAGGAAAAGGTATCATAGAATGGAAAGTTTTGCATCTGAAGGACAGCGTTACTAGCAGCGGTGACTTGAGTAAACACAACCCATGCTTGTCCCCGGAGCTTAGGAGTCTTTAACGCAACCACATCAAGTATCCTTCCAAAATGAGAGAACAAACAGTAAAGAGATCTCTTCAGCTCTGAAAAAAACAAGTGGAAACATTAAACAATGACCTGCTTGAACAGCATTACTCTTAGAGAAACAAAAGCAGCTAAAGAGGTTCAGGTCATTGAATTGAATCAAACAATCTAAACAAATTTCAAAAGCAATCGCCTTTCCTACTTAATTACTTAAACAAAGCACGTATGTTAGAGTATCTAGTTCAGGTCTCTAAAGATTAAACAGAAATTCTAAAATCCCTAAAACATAGAAAGATAACTCTAAATGCATCTAATCAAATCGAGCAACTTTAAACCCTCATCAGAGCATTGCAGAATCTCAAGTCACCAGAAGAAATACCAAAAAACTCTCTCAGAAAATCACCGATGCCAATTATATGGAGTTCGTAAGTATTCATTACCTTCTTTCTTGATCTTCTCATTGATATTTTTTATGTAGATTGACTGATTTGGTGGTATATCAGCCGTTAACATCTTTCAACTGAGCTCGGCGAAGACGACGACGACGACACTGCCCTGAGAAAAATTAGCGAGCAGAGAAGAAAATCGTGGCGTTTCCAATTTACACACGCCGTCTAATTTGTTTTTTTTTTTTTTAATGTAAACATCTTACCGTTTACCAATAACTAAACAGCACGTAGTTTTAAAATATTTATTATTAACAAACGAAAACAGCACGTAGTTCGAAAGGGGGTGTTTTGTTTGGCCCTATCTCTTTCCCCTTTCTTCGTTCGCATTCCTATCTTCTTCTTCCCTTGTCTACTGTTTTTCGTTAAACCCTACTACGAGCTTCTTCTTTCTACGACTGCTCGGATCTTTCTCAGTAGAGGGAACCATGAATCCCTCACTCGTCACCGCCATTAACGCTCCAATTTCACCTTCTCCTCGGTCTCCTCTTCTTTCTCACTTCCTACCTTCTTTACCTCACCGTTTCTCCAAGTCTGAGTGTCTGACTCGCCGTCGTTATCGAGTTTCGTTCCCTCGCAGCTCAGCTGCTTCCTCCGACCAACTATCGCAGGCGAAGAATCCCGGTATCCATGGAGATAAGAAGGAGCTCACTGGATTGCAACCGATTGTTGAGAAAATGACGCCGCCGGTGAGGCTAGCCACTTCAGCTGTTGTTTTAGCGGCGTCTTTAGCTACTGGTTACGGTCTTGGGCTTCGTTTAGCCGGCTCCAGGAATATTGCCTTTGGTGGGGCTGCTGTTGCTGGAGCCGCTGGTGGAGCTGTCGTGTATGCGTTGAACTCTGCTGTACCGGAGGTGGCTGCTATCAGTTTGCATAATTATGTTGCCGACTTCGAAGATCCTGCCTCTGTCACGAAAGATGATGTAGAAAAGATTGCTGATAGGTTAGTGGTTGCTTGAATTGTCATTTGTTTCTGGGATTTATACACAAAAGTGTGCTTAAACGATCCTTCTTATATGTTGCAGGTATGGTGTCAACAAAGGAGACGAAGCATTCCAGGCTGAGATTTGTGATATCTATTGCCGGTGAGTCAAGTTTGAAACCTGAAAAACTTGTCTTCCTCTTTTCTCTTAGTGTGGGGAATTTCTTTAGTAATCTTTGCATCTTAATCTTCATTTAGGTATGTAACTTCCGTGCTTCCAACTGAAGGACAATCTCTTAAAGGGGATGAAGTGGCGAAGATAATCAAGTTCAAAAATGCTTTAGGGATAGACGAGCCTGATGCAGCTGCCATGCACATGGAGGTGATTTCTAGATTCTTTGTCTTCAATTGAATTAGCTGTTAGCCTTTTTGTAGTTGATTGGATCTTGATTGCAGAATAACCAATTCCTTGGTTTTGTTTAGATTGGCCGCAGGATTTTTAGGCAAAGGCTAGAGACTGGGGAACGTGAAGGTGATGCAGAACAGCGTCGGGTGAGTCGCCAGTCCCTACTCCCTACTATTCGTTAATTTTAGTGTCGGATTGTTCAGAAAGAGACCAGAAGCGTGATCACAAGTTGTATGCTTCCAGTGCAGGCATTTATGAGGCTTGTATATGTTTCAGCTCTTGTGTTTGGAGATGCTTCATCCTTCCTTTTGCCTTGGAAGCGAGTATTGAAGGTCACAGATGCTCAGGTAGGCATTTCTAATTTTTTCATACTTCTGACTTTTGGCAAATAGTTGTTTTATGGGAAGTTGCATATCGGCAACTTACTCCTTCTTTGTAATCTGAAGTTCTGTGCTAATGTCTTGACCTCATTTCTAGGTTGAGATTGCTATTCGTGAAAATGCAAAGCAGCTGTATGCCGAACGGTTAAAATTAGTTGGTAGAGGTAATGTTGTTTATGTTTTACATTTTGAGATGGGAAGTAATGTTACATTTGTAAAACGGTTTAAGTTTGCTTGACTTTGTTATATCGATTATATTGATTATGGTTATGTCTCTAAACATGTTCTTACAGCTATTAACGTAGAAAACCTTGTGGACCTTAGAAAAGCACAACTATCATTCAAGCTTTCTGATGAGGTACTCTATTTCTTTGTGGCATTGAATTCCTGCTACCTCTGGTTGTACTTCTTCTGACAGTTTCTTCTCCCTCACAGCTTGCTGAAGACCTGTTTAGAGAGCATACGAGAAAGGTAGTCGTAGAGAACATTTCATCGGCACTCAGCATACTAAAATCCCGCACACGAGCAGTGTAAATCATTTTAACATTTTGTTTACAGAACCATGCATAGAAAAATCGTAGAGAATAATCGTAAACCATGTGAATTAGTTTAATTTTTACACATTCAACTTTTTTCATGTCTTGTACCAATTAGTTGTGACTTCTACTGTAGTCTTGGGTGGGTATACGTATTCCTTTGCTTGAACATTGAGTTTGGTCGGGTTGAAAAAGAGATTGAAGTTTTGGCTTTAGTTTTGAGTTTTGGTTATTGCAAAAACTGATCGGTCATATGATCCTCGTTTGCTTTTGTGAAATGTTCTATGGTATAAGTATTTTTTAAATAGTTTTAGGCTGTGAAGTGAAGTCATGAGATTTTAATTTTATAGGCGTTTTTGTATCTTGTGATAATGAATAGTGGAAACAAATTGGATCATCTAGTATGTCTAGTTTTTAGTAGTTTACAATGTATGTCATTTTAATAACCTGATTTTTCCCAGGAAGAGTTTGGCATCTGTCGTGGAAGAGCTTGAAAAAGTACTGGAGTTTAATAACCTGCTGGTTTCCTTGAAAAGTCATTCAGAGGCAGATCAATTTGCACGCGGGGTTGGCCCTATTTCTTTGATAGGTGAAGATGGTTTTGAACTTCTCTTTTCTGAATAATAATTATTGGCTCTCAACCTTGGATCTATGTGGCTTAGGTGATGAGTCTGATTTTGAGAGGAGAATGGATGATTTAAAGCTCCTTTATAGAGCATATGTTACCGATGCTTTAGCTGGTGGGCGCTTAGAAGAAAATAAGGTAAACTCAGTTTTGTATAAGATATTTTATACTAAAGCTTGGTTGCGAGTTCTTTTGAGAGCAGGTGTTTTCAGATGCTGTGTCCTGTATCAGTCCCTTGATATTTTTCATTTCTAATTGTCTTTCTGCTGTATGGTAGCTCGTGGCAATGAGCCAACTTAGAAACATACTCGGACTGGGAAAACGAGAAGCTGAAGCTATTAGTATTGATGTTACGTCCAAGGCTTACCGTAAAAGACTTGCTAACGCTGTCTCTAGTGGTGATCTTGAAGCACAAGACAGTAAAGCAAAATACCTTCAAAAGCTCTGCGAAGAGCTGCACTTTGATGCACAGAAGGCAGGCGCAATCCATGAAGGTATATGGGGAACCTTCTGTTCACCAATGAAACCTCATGTTTTTAAGTTATGCATGAGGTATACAGTTTGAATTGCCACATAATCGCCCAAATATAAGATGTGTCCATGGGTTAACTAAAATCTTATCAATTTAGTTGCTGGCTTGTAAACCTGCTGGTTCCTTATCCTTGCAAGCTAGCTTTTAGTGTTGTAGATTTGGTTCTTAACAGACTTCCAACAAGTCTGGCGTTTTCACAGGGTTACATGCTGATATTTTACAGTGTGAATATCTATTTTTGGTCTTTTTTTCTCAATCATCTGACAAGCTCCTTCTCTTCTTCAGAAATCTATCGGCAGAAGCTTCAACAGTGTGTTACTGATGGAGAGCTGAGCGATGACAATGTTGCTGCTTTATTAAGGTTAAGAGTTATGCTGTGTATTCCCCAGCAAACTGTTGAGACAGCTCATGCAGAAATCTGTGGAACTATATTTGAAAAGGTAATCCAGTTATCACCTCCCTTGTCCCTTTATCCTAGGGTTTTTCATGGTCTTGGGTCTTGGCACCGCAATTTCCCTCTGTCTTCGCATCTTGTTACCAAAAGGGTTACCTCTATTTAGCTTTTTGTTTAATCTTTTCCAGGTTGTCAGGGATGCAATCTCTTCTGGAGTGGATGGCTATGATGCTGAAACTCGCAAATCAGTAAGAAAGGCTGCACATGGTCTTCGGTTATCCAGAGAGACTGCCATGTCTATTGCTAGCAAAGCTGTGAGTATAATTTACTATTTACTTTCTCCATGCTTGGTATTAGTATTTGTTAATTTTTTTCCGACTTCTCATAGCAAGACATGAAAATCAAATCCCTTCATTGATGCAGGTCCGTAGGGTTTTCACAAACTATATCAGACGAGCAAGAGCAGCAGAGAACCGTACTGAGTCAGCAAAGGAGCTCAAGAAGATGATTGCTTTCAACACGTTAGTTGTGACTGAAATGGTGGCTGACATTAAGGGAGAATCTTCTGATAAGGCACCTGAGGAGGACCCTGTTGAAGAGAAAGAAGAAGATGGTGAAGATGAGGAATGGGGATCCCTTGAATCGCTCAGAAAGACAAGACCCAACAAGGAACTCGCTGAGAAAATGGGAAAGCCTGGCCAGACTGAAATAACTCTCAAAGATGACCTTCCCGACAGGGACAGAATAGATCTTTACAAAACATACTTGCTCTACTGTGTAACTGGAGAGGTAACAAGAATCCCTTTTGGCGCCCAGATCACAACAAAGAGAGACGATTCAGAGTACTTGCTTCTGAATCAGCTTGGTGGGATTCTCGGATTGAGTTCGAAAGAAATAGTCAACATTCACGTAGGTTTAGCTGAGCAGGCTTTTAGGCAACAAGCTGAAGTGATTTTAGCTGATGGGCAATTGACAAAAGCTAGAGTAGAGCAACTAGACGAGTTGCAAAAACAAGTTGGTTTGCCTCAGCCACAAGCCGAGAAGGTTATCAAGAATATAACCACCACAAAAATGGCAAACGCGATAGAAACTGCTGTTAACCAGGGAAGACTGAACATAAAGCAGATCCGGGAGCTCAAAGAGGCAAACGTCAGCCTGGACAGCATGATCGCTGTGAGTCTGAGAGAGAAATTATTCAAGAAGACAGTGAATGACATCTTCTCATCAGGAACTGGTGAATTCGATGAAATCGAAGTCTACCAGACAATCCCATCCGATCTCAGCATTGATGTGGAAAAAGCCAAAAGAGTTGTCCATGATCTCGCTCAGAGTAGATTATCGAATTCGCTGGTCCAAGCCGTGGCATTACTCAGGCAGAGAAACTCTAAAGGAGTGGTATGCAAATCTTCTCTTTCCTCTCCTATCTTGACATAAAACCTTGATATATCAGCTTCTGGGTATAACTTGTATATGCTTCTTCTATGGTTACAGGTCTCCTCCCTGAATGATTTACTTGCATGTGACAAAGCTGTGCCGGCAGAGCCGATGTCATGGGAGGTCTCGGAGGAATTATCCGATCTATATGCTATTTATTCAAAGAGTGATCCCAAACCCGCACCCGAAAAAGTATCGAGGCTACAATATCTGTTGGGAATAGATGATTCAACTGCAACTGCCCTCCGTGAAATGGAAGATGGAGCATTATCCTCTGCTGCAGAAGAGGGCAATTTCGTCTTTTAAATCTTTGGAGAAATGACTTGAGTTTGTATTTTTTTTACGGTCGAGGGAGGAAAAATGTTTTTTGAATTTGAAATTTGACCAAAGCCTGTGAAAATTTTGTATCAGAAGAAAGAACCATAATAAACTTGATCAGATTGGAATAATTTGAAGTGGTATGCAAAACTCACCCAATCAAATGCGGACACGTCACCTTGTTCAATAATGGTTCTAGACATGGGCTTCGCTTTGATGGGCCTACAATTTGTAGAAATCGGCTTTTTGGTTTTACATTTTTCAGAAAAAGAAAACAAGAAGAAAAAAAGATACAGTAGTGCACGGGAAAGGCCGGTTTATATACAAACTGTAGGCCCATCAAAGCGAAGCCCATTATCAACGCAAGGATTTCGAAACCCTAATCGATATCGAGGTCAAGATCCAACCAACTCTGCTAATCTCTGAGGTAAACCCTAATCTCTTTTTCCGAATGCTTATCTGATGTTTGATTCCCGTTCTAGATTGAAGAGCAAGTTTTTGATTTTTTTTTTTTCTTAAATGGTTTCAAGTCTTAAATGATGGAGCCTCCTACTACAACTGAGGCAGCTGAGGCTGCTATATTGGTCTATTGGGACATGAAGATGTGTCCGCTTCCCGATGGCTATAATGCTCGTCGTGTGGGTCAGATTATTGAACGGAAGTTGAGGCAGTTCGGCTACAATGGTCCTATCACCATCACTGCCGTTGGCATACTAGATGGTGTCCCTGAACGCGCCCTTGAAGCGCTCCTTTCCTCGGGAATCTCTCTTTATAACGCCCCCTACGGTTAGTATCTTCTCCATCCTTATTCCCTTCTTAGAGTAATGAGGGATGATTGGAGATTCTTAAGTCTTTAGTTGTTTCTTAAACAGGTACCAAAGACGTGGCAAGGCTTGCCTTGTGGTCTCGTTACGATTTTCCACCTCCAGGTAATCTGATGGTCATATCCCGTCCACCAGAGGCCGCTGTCATTCTTGACTCTAAGTAGGAGAGGATACAACACTATTTCCCCCTTTCCACTCGCCTATTCTCATCCGGAAGATGATGCAAAGGACCTCTGGGAAAACTTTCTCCTGGCAGGTGTGTGTTTCTTTCTCCTCATCTCTCACTGTCTTGTTGAATGAATTCTGTTGCTGAACTCCTACTATTTCTTTTTTTTTTTTTTGTTTCACAGATACATCGCCACTTGACGAAATTAAGTGCACTACAACAGGTCAATCCTGGGTTTGCGGTGTTTGCGATGATGATATTCCTGGCAGAGGCTTTCAAGATTTCATCACGCATCTCTCTACTCAAAAACATAAACTGGAGGTAATTAAGCATCCCTAGCAAAGTTTGGTCATTGTCTAACTATAACAAGCTCTTAGCTCTTACCCAAACTAGTTTATTTCCCTTTCTCACTTGTAGTTTTGTTTGCCTAATTTTGACGGAACAAATTCTCAGGGGCTCCTCAAGCTCCAAATTTTGTCTCAAATACTCCTCAATGGTAAAAAGACAAAATTACCTTTAATGAGGGTTGATTTCGGGTGATAAAGGTTAAATACAATTAAATCGGTAAGTGTTCAACGAAAAACACAATAGTTCAGTGGTTGCGAGCTCCATGCGCACGCGCGCCCCCCCAGGGTTCGAATCCTTTTATACGGGTTGTAACTGGTACAACTAGGGAATATTCGGGTACAACTAGTAGCTGGTACAACTAGGTGGTACAACTAGGAGGAGGTACAACTAAGCTCTGGTACAACTAAGGTCTGGTACAACTAGGAGGTGGTACAACTAGGAGGTAGTACAACTAAGGTCTGGTACAACTAGGAGGGTACAACTAGGAGATGGTACAACTAGGAGGTAGTACAACTAGGATACCAGTTGTACCACGTATACCTAGTAAAGGGGTAGTTTCGTCTTTTCATTAAAAGGAGGAGAGTATGTGGATTAGAGGAGAGTATGTAGATTAATTCTTTGACTCTGAGGAGCAATTGAGATTAGTCTCCAATTTTGACCCACATGTCATCTTTTTCCACTGGGTGTGCTTTTGGTTTTCAAGCAGTTTCCGCTCTGGCATTCTTATGAACCCGACGAGCTTGATTTTAAAAAGCGCGCTAACGGCGCGCAATGGCGCATAGCGCACCGAGCCTCGAAGAAGAGGCCAACAAGACATGGAGGCAAGGCGAGATCTATGATGCGCGCGCCATACATGAGCCATGGCCGATGCACGAGGCGGTCAACGCGAGGGCCTCGTGTTCAGGCGAAAACTCTACGAAACCAGCGGGTTTTCACGAAGAAGATCCTAGAAGGAATAGGATAAACCATTTTACAAACCTATCTGGTTGATAAATGGTTTAAAATTTAAAGAAATTTTCACGTTTATGTTGAAAAAAACATTTACTCTCACAGTTTGGCAAAGTGAGATTTGGTTTTCACGTTTTGGCAGTTAAGGCTTTTTAGGACGAAAATGCCCCTAACGAGTGAACCAAACGGCACAGTTTCTTTGCGGTTTAGTTACTTTTGATTGGTTTTGCGGTTTGGTTTTGAAAAAAAAAAAAAATTGTCGAAGAAAACGAAGAAGAAGAACGAGAGAGAGACGGAAAGATTCGAGAGAGAAGTAGAAATCCGTTCGAATATGCTAGATGTATAATATTTAGATGTATTAAGCATTCAAAACGTAAATCTAAAAAAATTAAAATTTCTGAGATAACTGTTAACAAGTGACTGCAAAATTAGGGTTACAGAGGTTGAAGACGATTGCAAAACTACAATTATACCCTTCACTAAATTTCTTATGTGTACATATTTATAATTTACAGTGTACGTACATGTGGACATGTAAATATGTTAGATTATGTTTTATTGTAAAAGCTGCATACACAATTATTTATTGAGTTTGTACATTAGAAATTTTTGGTTATTTCGTTTAGATGAGATATTTTTGGGGTTTTCCCATAAAATCTATGCATATATAATAATTAAAAAAATATATATGGTCAATGTATAGTTGTTTCTCATACTTTAAAAATATTATGTACGTACATGTATAATAATGTACGTATATCTTTGTTGATGAGTTAAAATTGTTGAGAAATATTTATTGATATAATAATAAACTAATATTCTACGATAGTTCTACTGGAGATGAAGACATTGTTATTTGCAAAAAAATAAGTGTTTCTAAACATACTTACAACTTACAATGTCTCTCATGTCATACTAATTTATACTTCTGTTTCATCAAGTCGGACATTGACTAAATCATCGAATTCTTCCAAAAATGATGTCTTCCCTTTTGGTTATGACTCACAATGTTTGAATGTCATAATTCTCTCCAAAATTATCGATGATTTTTCAATGTCGTACACATTAATTAGTATATGTACACGATTCTTTTAATTAACTGAATTTTCATATTAGCTCCACGGTAAGTAGAGTGTCACCAACATCTCTGACATGTCATATCCCATATTTCTCAACAAAAATTCAGTCCATCTATTGTAATGTAATCTTTGCTACTACCTTTACTATCGTTTTTAATCGTCATCTTCAACGCCCTCTTCGTCATCCCCAATCTCTTACTGTTCATCCTCTTTATCGTCCTCGACTTCTTCTTCCTCATTGTTTTCATCTACATTTGGTACCTCAAATATGGTTTTTGTTGTGTTTTCATCTCTAACCCAAGGTTAGTTTCATCAACAAAGTCCCACATCATGTACATTATATTCACACTTTGCTTATCGGATTGGACAAAATGACACAAAAATGTTTACACTTAGATCCCTACTATGAATAAAAAAAAATGTTCGCATTGGTGTTGTTTAGATGAGAACCTATCAACACAAGAGGATCAAGTACTTGGTATATTACAGTAAAATTATATGTGGTTCTGTTGAAGAGAATTATGGTCTTTTTAGGAATTTTTGTAATGTTTGGTATCTACGATGGTGCATACGGCGAGTTAACCAAATGTTATGTATTTAGTACGATATATATGATATTTTTTTTTTGATGTTGTTATTTCTATTTAATTGTTATTTTGATTTTTTTTTAGTAAGCGTTATGTTATACGATATATATTTGTTGAGAATAGATAAGATTTTAAACTAAACCCGTAGACGTACACGATAATATTGAGATACACGTACACGTGTACGACCTCTCCAAACAGTTATATCCTAAAAATGCCTAAATCACATAAGTCTTATACTATGTACGTACACAAAAATATTTATTGGAGCGTACATGGTACAACATTAATTTAATTTTTTGACATCAAAATTAAGTTATTATGTCAGTTATTTGTATGACTGTATTTTTTTCATGTGTTGTTCATACATGATTTGAATGTTTTGTTTTTATGGTCAAAAAATATTTGAAACGTAAATATACAAATTATTTAGATATTTACGTACATATATACACTCCCACACACACGGTCACTTTCAGCATCGTCACCATCGGTCCTAGGGACAGTATTCCCGAGTGCCTTGACGGTTGTAATGAAAGAGACAAACAAGGTGACACTAGGATCCCCACCACGAATCAAAAAGAATGTATCCAGGTTCATTTGATTGTCAATGTATACAGGAGGGCGTTTACTTTCTATCATCACTGACATCTTTCCCGGCATCCAGTAACTAATTATTGGATTGCATTCGGTGCACTTCAAACTGAAAACCTCGCATAATGTACGTACAAATGCCGTGTACGTCATGTTTTGCCTAACACGTACACAACGACCAAACCAGCCTTCCCATGGTTCAAATTTCCATTCTTCTTCTTTGCATTTCCACTCACCCACCATAGTAAATACGGGAATATCCATTACCAACCTGCATCATAAATTCAGCAGAACCCCATTAAATACAAATGAAAGCATGATTATATCTACAAAAAACAAAAAGAATTCCCAACTACACACTTATAAACATAAATCTATCCTCATTTAGCAATTTCAACTAAAAAAAGTGGAAATAAAAATATTCTGGGGTTTTATATAAAAACAATGTTGATCTTAGCACACAATCAAGACCCTAGTGTGTTAAAACAAAAAACTTCTTAACCAATTTCATTACTTACACGTTCAATGCTTGTCTTGGCTCCAAACTTTGTAAATCAAGAAGATCAAACCGATGAAGAATCACATTCGTTCAGAAAAATTTGTTTGTTTGATGGATCATGTTTGTCTCTTACAACTATTCACACATATAAACTAATATTAGAAAAAGTAATGATGACTTTTGCATTAATTGTGACATGAGTCATGTCTAAACTTTTTGGGCATTAAATACTGATGTCTCATTGTGTTTTAATGTTATTAATCCCAACTTGTCACTGTACTCCCGCACAAATCAATTAAGAACGAAATATATTGCGTAACCGGAACAGTGTACGTAACTGAACCGCTTAACTGAACCGTACAGTGAACCGCTTAACTGAACCGTACGCTTAACTGAACCGTACAGTGAACAGTACATCGGTAGGGGTAAAATGGTCAGATTTTGGCCAAAATGTCAAAACTTGAAAGCCCATTCTCACTTTGCCAAAACTTGAAATTAAAACTTGGTCAACTGCCATAACATGCAATTTACCCTTTAATTTAAGTGGTTTGGTAGCCTAAACCGAATTGAAAGTTTAACCATGCTTTACCATTAGTTTATCAGACCAAATCAATCCTCTGTTTATCTTAAATTGAACCGGTTCTGACGTTTACCTCTTAACCCATGACATTTAACCCCAATTTAAAGATGTAAAACCCCTAATTCTCCTGAATAAAACACCATAGACGAACGAAGCTTGAAGGCTAAAACCATATACATAGAATCTGTTAATGGAGCGCCACAGATCCGAAAGCGCGCGAAGACATTTGTTCTACTTGTAGCGGCAAATGTTGGGTTACTTATGCTTATTTTTCAAGTCGTTTTATTTTTTTGTAAGTTATGGAGATCGGACATAGTAACCGTATAGTATGTTTGAAATGATCAATAATGTGACAAGTATGTTTTTTATCTATGTGTGATAAAAAAAATATTAACACTAAAGTTTGAATGTTCGATAGTAAATGTCGGCTTATAGCTCTTTCTACAATACTAAAACATGTTCTATCTTCTTCTTCCCTTGCCTACTTCTATTCGTACGACTGCTCGGATCCTTCTCAGCAGAGGGAACCATGAATCCTTCACTCGTCACCGCCATTAACGCTCCAATTTCACCTTCTCCTCTTCTTTCTCACTTGCTACCTTCTTACTCGCCGTCGTTATCGACTTTCGTTCCCTCGTAGCTCAGCTGCTTCCTCCGACCAATTATCAGCGAAGAATCTCGGTATCCATGGGAATAAGAAGGAGCTCACTGGATTGTGGAGAAAATGACGCCGCCGGTGAGGCTAGCCACTTCAGCTGTTGTTTTAGCTACTGGTTACGGCCTAGGGCTCCGGTGTAGTTGAGTGGATCTTGATTGCAGAATCACTGATTCCTTGGTGTTGTTTAGATTGGCCGCAGGATTTTTAGGCAAAGGCTTGAGACTGGGGAACGTGAAGGTGATGCAGAACAGCGTCGGGTGAGTCGCCAGCCCCTAGTATTCGTTAATTTTATCGTTGGATTGTTCAGAAAGAGAGCATAAGCGTGATCACAAGTTGTATGCTTCCAGTGCAGGCATTTATGAGGCTTGTATATGTTTCAGCTCTTGTGTTTGGAGATGCTTCATCCTTCCTTTTGCCTTGGAAGCGAGTATTGAAGGTCACAGATGCCCAGGTAGGCATTTCTAAGTCCTTCATACTTGTGATTTTTCGCAATAGTTGTTCTATGGGAAGTTGCATATTGGCAGCTTACTCCTACTTGGTAATCTCAAGTTCTGTGCTAATGTCTTGACCTCATTTCTAGGTTGAGATTGCTATTCGTGAAAATGCAAAGCAGCTGTATGCCCAACGGTTAAAAATTAAAATTAGTTGGTAGAGGTAATGTTGTTTATGTTTTACATTTTGAGATGGGAAGTAATGTTACATTTGTAGAACTGAGGAAGTCTGCTTGAGTTGGTTATATCAATTATTGTGGCACTTCTTTGTCCATTGGGTTTTGTAATATTCGTTTCTCAGCAACCTTAATTGTTGCTTCACATGGGACTGTAGTGATGTAATGAATTCTTATCATTTAACATTGATAATAGACAATGCTTAGCTTTTTTTCATCAACTTAATGCATGGAAACTTACATGGTTATGTCTCTAAACATGTTCTTACAGCTATTAACGTAGAAAACCTAGTGGACCTTAAAAAAGCACAACTATCATTCAAGCTTTCTGATGAGGTACTCTATTTCTTTGTGGCATTGAATTCCTGCTACCTCTGGTTGTACTTATTCTGACAGTTTCTTCTCCCTCACAGCTTGCTGAAGACCTGTTTAGAGAGCATACGAGAAGAGTAGTCGTAGAGAACATTTCATCGGCACTCAGCATACTAAAATCCCGCACACTAGCAGCGTAAATCATTTTAACATATTGCTTACTGAATCATGCATAGAAAAGTCGTATAGAATAATCATAATCCATGTGAATTAGTTTGGTTTACACATTCAACTTTTTTATTTCTTGTACCAATTATTTATGACTTCAGCTGTAGGCTTGTCCAACTCTATATCAGAATGTGCACATGTGGTATCACGTGACGGGTGTTTCCGTATAATGAGCCTAAAAGATAGAATAACAATTAATTCAATGATTGAGAAATTTTTATAATGAAATGATTTGAACATAAGTGAAAGTTAATTCTATTGTGGTCTCACATGACTGCACAAAAGTAGAGCAATACTGATTACTGAACATGTATAATAGATCTGATCTCATTATAGTATGTCCTGTTCTTTTTGGCGAAATGTCTCATTCATTATACAAAAGCACGTATAAATCGAAGATAAGAGTTTGATAGAAGCATATGATCCAATCAATTGATTCATGGAGATGATGATATGACATTGTTTTCCGAGATTACAAAAAAGTGAAAATTAATAACAAATTAGAAGAATAAAAAGCAGAATCATTTAAGTTAACATGATCTGAGCAACACCTTGACAATGGAAGCGTAACATCCAGAAGATTTAGCATTATTATAATGATTCGATCCGTAGTCTAAACTCGAAGCAGATTCAAACCACATTGATCTTTTTCTTCTGTTCCTCCTGCTTAAATCAGATGTCCTCAATGGAGAAGATGGAACCGAAGACGAGGATGACGAAGAAGAAGCTGGAGACGAAGGAACACTACGATTCTTGGGAAGCAAGGAACCAAAGAGAGTGTTGGTTTTAGGGTTTGCAGGTTTAGTAGAGGAAGGATAAGCGTAGAAGTAAGAAGGAGGAGGTGTTAGTGGAGCTGAAACCGGAGAATTGAAATCTGAATCAGAATCGAAACCGGAAGAGGAGGATCGTTTGCTAAGTCGTCTTGGAGTTCCGGGCTGAGATTCCCATTTGAAGGGAACGGCGGCCGATGATCCACCGTAGTAGTCGCCGTCGACGACCACAGAGAGGATCAGTTTGGTCGTGGAAACCCTAGAACGATCCAGTTGAGGCATTGGACACTTTTGTGAGGAAGTGACTTTTGTTTCCGGGTTTGCTCAACTATAAAAGAACTATGATCAAAAGAAAGAGACTCGACTTCTTCTTCTTTTTTTTTCTTACTTTATTGGGTGAATTAAGAAGATTTAGATTCAGATTCAAAATTTCTGAATTGTTTGTGATCTTATTTTATTATATAGTTTTGAATGAGTAAGAGGCAATTTGATAAAATATTGTTGAATCTCGAGGTGTGATGCTTCTTCTGGGCTCTGCTTCTTGGAAGCCACTGAGAGTATTATCCTGTTCGAGATCATTTGATCCAATTATAGGTCCCTTTATTATAATACAGAATTGATATAAGTCAATGTAATTCCAAGACACTTGGACGATCCTATCCCTATATCTCAGAGGCTGGAAAAGAGAGGACTATGGTCTATGTTGTATATGCAAGCTTGATCTTTTGTTGCACATGTAAATCGATTTCTCTTCAGAATTGAACTGAACCTTCTGCTCTGTTTTGTGGACGATTTTTTGGAATCGCTCTACTATAATATTAGCAAATTGGTATCAGAAAATATCTTTGTAACATTTTAATTATAATACTAGATTGTATTAATATTTCATTCTGTAACAAAGTTACAAAAATAATTTTAGAAATAACATAATTAGTAAGAAGATCACAATACTAATTTCGTTAATTTTTCATATCCATGCATGACGTCGGGCAATCATATAGTATCTATTAAAAATATATAAAAACTTGTTTATATAATTGTTTTAATTACTGTATCACTAGTCCCACCCACCACAACCAGCCACCACGTAAATTGATTGAGACAAAAAAATGAAGACTTTTCTGTCACCTATCGGTATCCAGCTGTAGTGATCAATTGTATAGTTTCCTTGCTATACACGCAGAAACCAAATGTGCAATTATATATATTGATTAATCCCGGTGACTTAAAGATCGAAATTACCAAAAGATGAGTCTAAGCTCCGATCTAAAAGAGAGTAATTTGGACGAGATGAAGAATGTTTTGGAGGATTTAACATCGAATGTGAAGCAAGTACAAGACGGTTTATTAGAAGAGATACTTGCACATAGCGCAGACACGGAATACCTCCAGAGATTCCTCCATGGGATGTCTACTAAAGAGCTTTTCAAGAAGAATGTTCCAATTGTAACATATAAAGATGTTGAGCCTTATATTGAGCATGGAGAGCCTTCAAATATCATATCTGCCCATCCCATTACTAGATTCACCTTTAGGTATTATAAGTTTTTTTTCCCCTTCAGTTCTTGAAATCTGTTTGATCATATGATAATGGATCAACTAGTTTATTAACGGTGTTTGTTGACTACTTGTGGGTGTAGCTAGTTCTGGAACTTCAGGAAGGAAACAGAAGTTAATGCCTTTCAACATGAAGTACTTGGAGAACATCATATATTCCATAGGAATCTACACTCTTTCGTTATATGCAGGTACATAATTAAACCTTCTTCTTCCTTTTTACGAGGACATGTAGTCTAGTGGGGACATGTTTAGTGTTTTCTATTAGTGTCATCGTTAAGTCACAGTTCAAATTCGATATATAGAATCATTGTTTGTACTAGTGACAAATGCAAGGATGGTTCTTGAATCTAATTCAGATTTGATGTTGACAGATTTTACATGGTATGCAGATATCTCTACTGTTCCAGGCCATTACGTTCTTTACTGGGAACTCAAAGCGGAAAACAAAAATACAATCCTTGAGCTCGGTGAAAAGTTATTGATGGAGTGTTGCTATACCGTGGAAGAAGCATTCAATTTTCTATACCGGAAATTTCGGTGCAAGGATGGTTTAATTGGAGCTCTAGAGATAAGAGTGGTGCAACCAGGAACATTTGATTCTCTTATGAACTATTTCATCTCTGAGGGTTCTTCTTTAATTCAATACAAAACCCCCATTATGCATGATATCTGTCCATGCCTTAGCCATTCTTGAAGATAAGGTTTTCGCACAGTTCTTCGGCGACAAACCCCCACCTTTCTGACTTTTCGCCTTTGTAGAGCTCCTCAGCTTCGAGGGCTTTTTATTATGTATGATTTGAAATAATAGTTTGGGGAAACAAACTTGAACAAGACATTGCAGTTGTGTATGTGAAATGTGCCATCCATTAAATATTTTTCTTATTCTCTTTTCTTTCAGTGATTACTTGTAGTGAAATCAAGTTCCTGTCACTTGAAGTTGCAATACTTACAAAAACAACAGAACACAGAGAAAGATACTCTGTGTTAACATAATATATAAAACCCATTTCAATAATCTTTAACCGTCATTGTCGCTTGGAAACAGGTCAGTGCAGAGCTCTCCATAGAATCTAGTCACAAGATCAATGAAGATAGGACTATTAAGATTCTTCCAATAATAGAGAAGCTCTTCCATGTCCATCAAGTCATCTAATTTCCCATCTTCAACGATCATATGGATCATGTAGTTCTCGAAGTTTGTGCAAGCCTCTTTCACACCGTCTTCCTTCAGCATATGTCTTTGACTCGTCCTCGCTTTCTTGTTCCTTTGCGTCACAGCCAAAGGAAACATCTTTCTTGAATGCAGAAGCTTGGAATCATCGATCAGACTAGCTGCATTGGCATTGTAGATTCATTAAAATTTAGATCAAAGGTCTACAAAATCGAAAATATATATAGTTAGTTTCAAATTAAAGAAATTGCTGTTACACGGTGAACTTCTGGGTCTTATCTGGCTCATCCTCTGCTCCTTATCAGTATTGAGAAAACAGAGACGAGACAACAAACTAGAAGAAGAAGATTGTGTGGTCGTATTGACATTGTGAAAACGAGCATGGAAGAAGGAGATGAGTCTGTTGCATGATTTTGAAAGCTTTGATTTCAAGCTAATCAAACTTGCCTTCAGTCTCATTCTCAATCGTTCCAACTCTGATTTATTTTTGTTGTTGTGGTACAATGTCAGTTTTGGGAGGGTGGTTCGTGTTACGTGGGCTTCACGTCTTTGCCTTTGAAGCTAAGTCGTGATGGTGGAGTCCCATGAACTTTGTTTAGCCTTAATTTGTCATGTTTTTGGCTAATTTAATTTTAAGCTTTAATTTGGTAGGTTTATATCGGTGTTTACTGGGAACTTAAAACCTTTAAACTGGATCTAATCGTTAGCGCTGTGACTGTCCCCACTCTTTTGTCGAGCCCTAACATCAAATATGAGTCGTTGACCCAAAAAAAAAATTAAAAACTTGGGCCAAACACACACGTGAGAGGTAGGGAGACCACAAGCTAATTGGTGAAAAGGAGACGAACTATTACACGCCGAGTTTCATGCAAGTATGTCTTTTATTATTCTCTACAGTTTCTTCTACACCATTATTGTTATATACTATGATTGTGGCTAAATTAAGAGATTGGACATGAACCTGAAATCTTGTTTAACCTCTTTTGTTGAAACCCTTTGTCACGTTCGCCGGATCATGTTTTGGAGGCAACTTACCAGAAATATTCTATTTAGTCTAATTAATACCCCAATCGACCTTACTACGTACTCACAAATTTTGAGGACACTTTAATTTGTTGCTAAATTTTCAACTATGATAAAACTTTTAAATTCTCAACCTCTTTTTAATAACCATGCATTTGATTTATCCATCTACGTACAACTCGATTATTTCGATTACACCCGTTTAGATAGGATATTTTATTTCAATTTGATTTGGTTTAACTTGGTTAATTCGGTTAGGGAGAGCAACCGAAATGTGTTTGGTACGAACAAAGACATTCTACGAAGTGGATCCCATTTTTGTTCTGTCTAGTGACTCTATAGTCCCTTTACATCCCAATTCGTCACTTTCTCTCTTTTATCTGTCACATAGAAACTCTGCCTCTACAGATTTTTTTCTCTTTTCTATGAGAAGATCACTTATTTTTTGAAACAGAGATGAGGAATTATAAGTTCAGATTGTCAGCTATGATCCCAAGTCGCTGGTTCCACAAGCTCAAAAACATGACCAGGCCTAGAAATAAACATCCTCTTCCTTCTTACTCCTTAAACACTACCAAGAAGAGAAAACCTTCCTCTGAGTCAAAGTCTCTTCCTCACTCTTCAACCTCTTACTTCTCCAATAGGTCACACACTTCCTTTGAATCTAAGATCCTTCAAATTTCACCAAGAAACTCTCCTCACAAGATACAGAGCAAAAGAAAGACTGTTTACAAGCCTTCTCCTCCTTCCACTTCTTCTGTGTCTGCAGGTTTTAACAAAAAGAAGATCAAATTTCATCGAAACCAAGATTCTTTCTCTGAAGATGATGTCATCATCGACATGAATAACAGAGATTTCAAGAAGAAAATGTTCAAAGAGATCAATAAGTTTGATTCAACGGAGAAAGCATGTCCTGCAAGTAACCGAACCAAGGAAACACTTATAACTCATCATCTATCTGTGAAGGTCAATAAAGAGAAAGAAGATGAAGAAGAGGAAGATGCATGTAGAATCCAGAAGAAACATCAGAAAACATTAGTTTCCGGTGGAAGAAGATCATCAGATAAATCTACAAGGATAAAACTCAGAGTGAGTTCTCCTAGAATTCAAGTCTCACCTCGTAGAAGCAAATCGAGATCACAGAACAAACAAGTTCTTGACAGTTTTGCAGTAATCAAGAGTTCTCTTGATCCAAAGAAGGATTTCAGAGAATCAATGGTGGAGATGATAGCAGAGAGCAACATCAGAACCTCTAAAGACATGGAGGATCTTCTAGCATGTTACCTTACCTTGAATGCCAAGGAGTATCATAATCTTATCATCAAGGTTTTCGTTCAAGTCTGGCTTGAAGTTATAAACTATGATCAAAAGCTTTAAATCTCTGGTAAATTGTACTTCTTTTAAAGAGTTTGATGTAGCTGTGGAGATTTTCTTTGCAAGACCAGTTTTGTGTTTTGTCTGTCTAACGTGATAAAGACAGATGGAGCACTCGCTTTGTTTTGTATTTGGTTATGATTTGTGGAGATAATAAAACATACTTATTCAGCAATTGAGCATTATAAAAACCATACTTTTCTGGCGTGAGATATCCAAATCATAGCTACAAAACCCTAAACATTTATGTGATATATTTCGAAACAATATAGAAAATATTTATACAAGTTCGAAGAGTTTTCTATTCTAGTTTCATGTAGTGATAATCAGAAGAAGTCTTTTAATTTTGATGTAGGTAAATGATGCGTTTCTTCATTTTCAGTTAAGCGATTAACAATAGCTTGAGGATCGAAATAAATCAAAGGCTCAGCAATAATTGTAGATTTGTAGTAAGATTAAACTTTGGATTAGGATTTGATCGAGTTTAGTCATAGTAACGACTTAGGTTACAAGAGCGAAAAGGTCAAATCACACAATAGCCCAAGAAAAGAAAAAAAGAGTCAACAAAAGGCCAAAAGTGTAGTGACAAGAAGCCACACGGAGACAAGTCAGAAACCCATCAAGTACGGAGTAGAAATGGGTTCCAGTCCTAATGAATAATGAAGCAGGAAACATGAAAATGGAGCCTGAAGAACATAAATCGCTAGAGAGAGAAAGAAACACTGACACAGAAGAGTATATGATTAAAGAGGAAAAGCAGAGAGAGAGTTTTAAGAACCTAAAGACTCTTTGTTGTTGTGATGAAGAAGAAGATGAGGACCACTGTTTTGCTGCTGTTTCCCAATGCCCATCTCCTTACCTCTACCATCCATTTATACTGTTAGTACTTAGTACGGTATGGACAGACATTTCTTGGGAATTGATCAGCCACTATTCCGTACCAATTCACCCTAATTTCATTAAGGGTAATTTGGGGATATCACATTTATGGTGGCACTCAGATTATAAGGTGGCACGCCAGATTAATTTTTTTCAAATAGTGGCATATGTGGCTCGGACTCCCACAATCATAATCATAAACATTTAATGAAACACCAAGCTCAATTTGGATCCAAGATATTTGCATCCCGTTAATCTGTCTTTTACATCGGTGCTACTGCTTGTTTCGGATAAGAATGTTGCTTGTTAGGTTTAACCAAGACAGTGAAAACTGTACTAGGAATCATATAAACCAAAATGAAGTGCTCTTGGATTGGTTAAGGCACCTAGTTTACTTCACAAAACGATTCACTAGACAATCATCATCATAGACGAGATTCTACGGGTCTTAAAAGACAAAAGGCTACAAAATGTTACCCAGTTTTTTACTTTCCATAGATGCCACAATACGTCATTGTTCAGCAGTTGTTGTTACTCGCCTACTCACAAAGAGGTCTGCTGCCTACTCTAGTACTCCAATACCTATAAGCAAAGAATGGAAAATTGAAGGAGCAATTATACGTAAAAACAATGAGATACAATTATGATTTTAATGCTGAAAATAAAGACAAAAGATAATCAGCTATTAGAACACCAACTCTCCTAATAAGCTCAACTCACCCATTAAAAAGTTAGATTGCCATGAATGGGTGAACCTAGATTTGTTTACTCATAAACTTATCATAGAAATCATAAAATCCATCATTCCAGCATATACATGTAAAATAGCAACATTGATAGTATTTTATCTATTCTGTATCAAGCAGCACTATACATACGCTCATAGTTCCACAGGTAGAGTTTACCTTCAAAGCTAACTTGTGAGTAGAACTATTGGCTTATAAGAACTTGGCTCACTGTTTGTGAGGGTTCATATCATTCCCCCTCCCCTACCCTACGCACTTTAGTTTCGGGGAAATGAGAAGCTAATGCAGCAGTATTTTATTGCTCTTCTAAAGGTCATCAGGCTGACGATTGTACCCTATAGACTATGTATATGTTTAACTCACCTACTCAATGATGGCGCTCTTCCCGCCTCATCTCAACTCGAAATTTATCTTTAATATCACCCTGTGAGATAATGTATCTAGCATTAGACACGCGATAAATTAACTCTAAGAGAAATGAGTAAAGAACAGAAAGATAAGTGAAGCTGTGTACATTAGTTCTGCGCACTAGAATTGGATTCTCATCTTTAATCCGCTTCCAGTTTGCACCATACCTGAATCACAAAAAATGCATCAAATCAATAGATATGCATGAAAGATATTCTTCTAACATCTAAGAGAATTTTCAGGTTTGAAGTACTTTTCATAGCCTTTCAGTACAGCCAGCGTTTCTGCAGTACTCCAAGGAACTTTTGGCCTTCTAGCACCTTCAAAAACTCGGTTTCTTTTCAAAGGAGACACGACAATTCTTTTACGTTTTGATTTTCTTACACCATCATCGCCCATTTCTCCATCTGAATCATCAAGGGAGTCTTTCCACTAATCAAACAAACAAAAAAAAACTCATCTGAACAGAGTCCTACATTATACTGTTGCATGAAAAGCACGTTATATTAACTCAGCTATAGCTCCCGAACCGAACATACAAAGAAATCAATTCAGCGAGTCCTACACAATTCGAATTTCCCACCGAGTGCAGCAGGCTGGTCCGACAATACGAAATAATAAGAAAAGATCGAACAATGAATCTGGATAGTGCTTAGAAAACTTAGTAAATGATATGCTGAAACAACTAAAATAAAGAAGCAAATTTACTTCATAAGTGTGTGCTGTACTACGTCGCTCCATCAAGCTAGGCCTTGGTGAAGCGTTTGTTGCAGAAGGATTAGCAACATCATTTTCTTGTTCTGTAATCTTCTCATTGTTTAAATTTGAAGGTCGTCCTTTTTCTAAAGCATTCATTAGCTCGATTTTACTAGCTCTAAGCTCTCTGAGCGCTCTGTCAACAACTGCAGATGAAATGGGCTTGAATTGACGGGGTACATATACAGCTTTTGACCCTCCAGAAATAGGTCTCTCCAGTTCTGTATCTAAGAGGCTCTCTACAACAAAAGAAATGCATCAGACCCTTTCAGTATCCAACAAAGCGCAATCACATTATAACAAAGTTAATAGAGAGATGAAAGAAACAAAGTTGAGAAAGTGTAGACCTTGTTCGTCTTCCATTGCTTCAGACGCCTGACTGTTCTGATTAACCACCCCCTCTCTTGCTTCAACCATTGACTCTGTCTCTTGAGATTCTTCACTAGATTCAATGTCCTCTGATTCATCCATGTTCGGATTCTCTAAAACAAGAATGGGATTCAAATCTAAAACAACCTTCCTCAAAGAAACCAAAGCTTTGTCTCTAGTATCTTCATCCATCAGTGTCTTACAAGCCTTGTCGTCATTGTGGGCCTTCCATAATCTTCGACAGCATTTCAAGAGGTCAAGAGTAACCAAACAACTAACCTTATCGCATAAAGGCATAATCCTACCCAGCCATATCGAACTGATTGCTTCAGTATAAGCCTTTTTTGCATCTTTCTCATAAGCGAGACACTTCACTGTGCACTCCACAGCTACTTTACAATAAGCTTCCGTGACTGATTTGGGTACTTTAGAACCTTCTTTGTGTAGAATCTCCACTAGATTCTCTAACCGCTCGAGATTCTTCTCTTCCACAACACCATCCTCAATCTCCATGAAAATCCCTTCGAGTATAGCTTCCTTCCACTGCGACAGTGCCATAGTTGCTAAATCAACCAAACAATGTTAGGGCTTGCTTTCTCTCTCACCGATTCCGTCTCTCGAATTGGGTTACTCAGGAAAGGTCAATTAGGTTTGTAACACTTCAAAATTTCCAATTTTTCAGTTTTCGATTCTCTTCCGATTTCAGAGGCGAAAACGAAGCAATGGAAGAGAGAACCATAACCTTTTTGCAGTTTCCCATCTCTGAAAATAACAACGCGTGTCGTTTTATCTATTATAAAACGGCTCCCATTCCATATTCCTATGGGAGAAACGTCACGATTTTCACTTGTTTCCTCCTTTTTTTTTTAATAAACGAAAAATCAGAAGAAGGCAGTAGCGGCGGAATCGGATTCATTGGGTACAGAGAAGCAAGACCTAAGAAGAGGAAGCTGCAGCAGCACAAATTGTTCACCAGTCGCTATCTTCTTCTCAGAACGAGAACAATGTCTTCAATGAAATCCGTCTCGGCTTTGGACAATGTAGTGGTGAAGTCACCGAACGATCGGAGGCTATACAGAGTGATTGAATTGGAGAATGGATTGTGTGCTCTGCTTATTCACGATCCAGATATTTATCCCGAAGGCTCTGTTCCGGATCAAATCGATGAAGATGACGAGGACGGAGAAGAAGATGAAGAAGATAGTGACGAAGATGATGATGAAGATAATGATGAAGAAGATGATGAAGAAGGGGAAGGAGATGAAGAAGATGATGAGGATGAAGATGAATTGAAAGGGAAAGGGGATCATCAGACCAAAAAGGTTTTCAGTTTAAAGCTATATCAGCTGTTTTCTTCTTGTGTCAAATTTTGATTTTTGAACTCGAATGTTTTGTGTTGTGCGTCTCAGGCTGCTGCAGCTATGTGTGTTTCAATGGGAAGCTTCTTGGATCCTCCGGAGGCACAAGGCCTGGCTCACTTTCTTGGTATTTTCATCTTTCTATGAGTTTGAACTACAGTTTGAATGCACTTCTTCTGATTTTTTTTAACTAATTCAATCACTCTCATGTTTATGTTTTGTGCAGAACACATGCTTTTTATGGGTAGCACTGAGTTCCCCGATGAGAATGAAGTAAGCATTGCATTATTTTCTATGGCTCCAATGGTTTGGCACTATTTATAGATTTTCATATGAAAATAAGTATTCTGCTAACTTCATAATTTTTTTATCTTTGAATCAAGAAACTAACCCAGTTAGCATGATTAGATATATCAGTAAATCTTTTCGGAGCTTGGATATAATGGATTATGGTTATATCTTTTCAACGTTTAATATGGACTTCGTTTTGTTAGCATGATGTATTTTTGAATTCTTCCGGTTTTGACTTCTTGCAGTATGATAGTTACTTGTCTAAGCATGGTGGATCCTCTAACGCGTACACAGAAATGGAGCATACATGCTATCACTTCGAAGTCAAGAGAGAATTTCTTCAAGGGGCCTTGAAAAGGTACAAATATTGCTTGAGCTGCCACTTCACTTATCGATATAAATGTCATTTGCTGTAAATTTACCAAGGCAGGCGATATATATGTCGGTATGCATGCCTAGAGATTGTTATCATTGGAAAGGAAGATGCATAGTTCTACTTATCGTTTGAGCTTTCTGTTAGGTTTAATCTTTTCCTTTTCAGTTGTGTTCTTCAGATCGCTTATTTGACCTTAGAACTGTTTTCTTGTTATTAGATTCTCTCAGTTTTTTGTTGCACCGCTCATGAAGACTGAAGCTATGGAACGAGAAGTCCTTGCCGTTGATTCAGGTTTATCTTGCTTGTTTCATACCCTTATTTCTTTGTTCGAAATTATCGAAAGATCCATCTCCAATCAACATTCAGATATATAAACCTTTCTATATAGTTAAAAGTGTCTTGCTAACAAGGTTCAAATTTGTAGAATTTAACCAAGCCCTCCAAAATGATGCATGTCGCCTGCAACAACTTCAGTGCTATACGTCTGCAAAGGGTCATCCTTTTAATAGGTTTGCATGGGGTAAGGATATCTCGGTGTACCTTTCTTGCCACATTTAAGATATTCATGAGAGGATTTATTGTTAATATGTCCTTCATGTGCTCTGGAAGGTAACAAGAAGAGCTTAAGTGGTGCAATGGAAAATGGTGTTGATCTACGGGAATGTATTGTGAAATTATACAAGGAATATTACCATGGTGGACTGATGAAGCTCGTTGTCATTGGGGGAGGTAAAATTCTCTAGGTGTATGATGTGTCTAGCTGTGATTCTTGAAAAATATTTATATACATTTCTAAATATTGGCCTGTGTTACTGTTTGAGTTTAATGTTTAGCTTTGAAGTCTTGCAGAATCTCTCGACATGCTTGAAAGTTGGGTTGTAGAACTATTTGGTGATGTCAAAAACGGATCCAAAATCAGGCCAACTCTGGAGGCAGAAGGTCCTATTTGGAAAGGTGGTAAATTATATCGCCTAGAAGCGGTTAAAGATGTTCATATACTTGGTTTGACATGGACTCTCCCTCCTCTTCGCTATGCCTATGTGAAGAAGCCGGAAGACTATCTAGCACATCTATTAGGACATGGTAAGAAATCACATCAATTCTACCTTTTATATAGAGTTTTCTTTAAGCGTGCTTGTGCATGTCCTTATTGAGGAATGTTGTTTATAACATTGTGTTTTTAGAGGGTAGAGGAAGTCTGCATTCATTCCTCAAAGCTAAGGGTTGGGCAACCTCACTGTCTGCTGGTGTTGGGGATGATGGAATTAACCGCTCGTCTCTAGCCTATGTATTCGGCATGTCCATACATCTCACTGACTCTGGTTTAGAGAAGGTAACTTGTCAGATACTTATTTATACTGAATTTTCCATAAGTAAGTTTGACGCAGGGCATAATTAATCATTTTCAATTCCTTTGTCTCTGAATTATGAAGTAATATATATACTTGTTTCTTATTTTTGTTGACAAGCTGACATAACCTGTTACTAGCTGCATATACAATTATACAGTAGTCTCGTTCTTGCCCTATTTGCTTTTGTTATGTTACAATTTCCCATGTTGACCTTATGACAACTTTTGTTAACAGATTTACGACATCATTGGTTACATCTATCAATATCTCAAGTTATTGCGTGATGTGTCACCACAAGAATGGATATTCAAGGAACTCCAAGATATTGGGAACATGGACTTTAGATTTGCCGAGGAGCAGCCGGCGGATGATTATGCTGCTGAGCTCTCAGGTTTGTGCTTATATAGTTATTTGTCTAGTTATTTTTGAGTGACTCTATTAAGGTGCTAATAGTGGTGAACTTATTATGTTGGCATGTAAAGCCTAAATATTTTCAGAACCTATTATGCATTGATGTGTACATGTAATGAAAAGTCTTCATCGTGGGTTTCTTAGTTAATCATTGAAAGTGTTAATTGTACAGAGAATATGCTTGCTTATCCGGTGGAGCACGTTATTTATGGTGATTATGTATACCAGACATGGGATCCAAAATTGATAGAAGATCTTATGGGTTTTTTCACACCTCAGAACATGAGGATTGATGTTGTTTCGAAATCCATCAAGTCGGAAGGTATTTTAAAGAATCATCGAGTATGTAACTTTTGAATACAAATTAATATTCTTAGTATTCTTCTTTTGAAATTTTGCTTGTTTCAGAGTTCGAACAAGAACCTTGGTTTGGTTCTAGTTACATAGAGGAAGATGTTCCATTGTCTTTGATGGAATCATGGAGCAATCCTTCAGAAGTAGATAACTCTTTGCATCTCCCCTCGAAAAACCAATTCATCCCTTGTGATTTTTCAATCCGAGCCATTAATTCTGATGTGGATCCCAAAAGTCAGTCTCCTCCTAGATGTATAATTGACGAACCGTTCATGAAATTCTGGTACAAGCTTGACGAAACTTTTAAGGTTCCTCGTGCAAATACATACTTCCGCATAAATTTGAAGGGGGCATATGCCAGTGTGAAGAACTGCCTTTTGACAGAATTATTTATTAACCTTCTAAAAGATGAGCTAAATGAGATCATCTACCAGGCAAGTAATTAATTTTTAGGAAAATCTTCTTAGATCTTTTTGTTTTTGTATTGACATTAATATCTGACTTTTTGCAGGCCAGTATAGCAAAACTTGAAACTTCTTTATCTATGTATGGTGATAAGCTAGAGCTTAAAGTGTATGGCTTTAATGAGAAAATTCCAGCTCTTCTATCAAAAATCTTAGCCATAGCCAAATCCTTCATGCCAAACCTGGAGCGATTTAAGGTATGTGAATATTTGCATGTATAGTTGTCATACTTTTTATTCTCATTTAATCTTAAATTTCAAGTTTTGTGTCATTTTCTTATCCTCATCATTTCTTGATTCAACTTCATTTTCTTTCTAACCTTGTAGGTTATCAAAGAAAACATGGAGAGAGGGTTTAGGAATACTAATATGAAGCCTTTGAACCATTCTACATACTTGAGACTGCAACTCTTGTGTAAACGGATCTATGACAGCGATGAAAAGTTGTCTGTACTAAATGATTTGTCTCTCGATGATCTCAACAGCTTTATTCCTGAACTCCGTTCTCAGGTAACTTTCTGCATCAGTGTGATTCCTGTTTTTACTTAATAGACAGATTTTTTATTATTCTCGGGTTTTGTTTATATTGGGCAAAGATTATGTAATACTTCTGTTATGTTTTCAGATATTTATTGAGGCTCTGTGTCATGGTAATTTGTCCGAAGACGAAGCAGTGAACATATCAAACATATTCAAAAATAGTTTGACGGTTGAACCACTCCCAAGCAAATGTAGACATGGAGAACAGATAACATGTTTCCCTCTGGGTGCAAAACTTGTAAGAGATGTTGATGTGAAGAACAAATCTGAAACAAACTCAGTAGTCGAGGTAAAAAGGAAACAGTATTTTCTTGTGATAAGAGTCAGGCAAGAAGAAAACATAGTACTTTCTTCTGGTATAATCATGGTTTTGAATCTGAACCTGAATCTGATATGCAGCTTTACTATCAAATCGAGCCTGAAGAAGCGCAGTCAACAAGAATGAAAGCTGTGCTGGATCTCTTTCATGAAATCATAGAAGAGCCATTGTTCAATCAGTTGAGGTTAGTCATCACATGTTTACTTAGTCTGTTTAATAGATGAAATCGTATTTATGTATAGTCATATATATGTGATTTTGGATATAGGACAAAGGAGCAGCTTGGTTATGTTGTCGAGTGTGGCCCTCGCTTAACGTATCGTGTCCACGGTTTCTGTTTCTGTGTTCAATCTTCTAAATACGGTCCAGTTCATTTGCTGGGGAGAGTCGACAATTTCATAAAAGATATCGAAGGCCTTCTGGTAAGTCTGTAATCAAAAAGAAAATATTGATTTTTTGTTAAATCTTTACCTCGCTTCACAAATGTTAATCGGGTTGTAATTGCAGGAACAACTCGATGATGAATCCTATGAAGATTACCGAAGTGGTATGATTGCTAGATTGCTGGAAAAGGATCCCTCTCTCTTGTCTGAGACAAATGAATTATGGAGTCAGATTGTTGACAAAAGGTAAGGATCTCAAGAGTTTAAAGGATGTGATCTGTAGTTTCATATAGAACTTCAATGAGTTACTTAGATCCATATCCATATCGGTCGCTGGCTAATGAAAATGGAGTTTAACTCTCTCACAGGTACATGTTTGATTTCTCCCACAAGGAAGCAGAAGAACTAAGAAGCATACAGAAGAAAGATGTGATCAGATGGTACAAAACCTATTTCAGAGAATCGTCACCCAAATGCCGTAGGCTTGCGGTAAGGGTTTGGGGATGCGATACCAATATGAAAGAAACTCAAACAGATCAAAAGGCGGTGCAGGTCATCGCAGACGCAGTGGCTTTCAAGTCAACTTCTAAGTTTTACCCCAGCCTTTGCTAATGAGAAACATACAAAGAGTTTTGCGTCGTCTTCCCTTTTTTTTTTCTTTTTTTTTCTATTTTTATTCACTCAATTTTCTTCATACCCCCACATTGGATAGGTTATACTTTTGAGTGACAAGCACCAAAAATATCCCTTTTTGTTATGATTTGAGTCTACGCATTTAAAGTATGTTTTTATCTGTTGGATGAGGTTGAAATTTATTGATTAGAATATAACTATCATGTACAATGTATAGATTTACCCAAAAAGAAGCAGCATAACTAAAAAACATACAGAAAAAAAGAAAGTTATCAATCAATTAAAACTTACAAATAACCATCGACACTCCCACTAATAAAATCCCAATTGGAACAATTTTCTCCTTAATGACAGGTAGTATATATGGCCACTGGAACATTAAAAAAAAAAAAAAAAAAAAGAGAGTATAAAATGATCTTTGATTATTGTACAGTGAATGTCTTACATAAATAACCAACGGTAAAAAATCAAATATGAACGTGGATCATGAATTACTATTTGTTTGATAATTACGATTATATCCCGCGGTTAATTTCTCTGGTAGGGCCTATCAAACGTAGAAAGCGAAAACTATCTTCTTCCGCTCTCTCTCTCTCACTATTTTTCTCTGTACGGTGGTGAGTGAAGACCATCAAAATTGCAGAAAATAGGCTTAATCTGAATCTCTTCTCCTCCGTCGATGTTTTGAATTCTCTCTGGTTCTCCAATTCTCCTGTGAGTTTCTCTCTCTCTCTCTCTCTCCCTCCTTATGTTCTCGTTTTCTCATTTCGCGTCTCTTGAATTTTCCTTCAACTAATTTCTTTGATCTCTGTCTTATAACGGCAGATCTAGGGTTTATGGCTTCTGGCTTTCAATAAATCTTCTTCGTTCTCCGACTCTTTTATCTAACGAGTTTCTATATTCTCCATTTTTGCTTCAGCTCGAGCTGCCTTAAGCTTCGCATTTACGTTTAGCACGAATGAGGTTCGTTTTCTCCAGATCGCTCTTGTTTTCTTCACGTTTCACTGGATACCGTTACGATTCATGTATATTTTTTGGTGGATTAGATCATCGTAGATCGTGATTGAAGAAGCGAGAGATAAATTAGGAGAGCGAAGATGAGCGAGGGCCAGAAGTTCCAGTTGGGAACAATCGGCGCTTTGAGTTTGTCCGTTGTGTCGTCTGTCTCCATCGTGATCTGTAACAAAGCACTTATTAGCACCCTTGGCTTCACATTCGGTAGCCTATTCAATTTTTCCTTCACTGTTACATGCTCCTTTGATTATCCATGTTCCGCTGCTGATATTGTTTCCTCTGGATCTATTCGTATGTTTGTATGCTAATTGCTTCCTGCTTGCTTATTTGATGAAATTGAGGATTGAGTTGATACTATGTTCTGAATTGTCAGCTGGTTATTTTTTTGGTCTCTTATGCTCCATAACGAAAATTGCCTTCATGATTGTATATGTTTCAGAAAGTTTCTTATGGCTTTAGAATTTAGATGCTCCTATGCCTTTGAATGATATGTGTTGTATGTGTGTCTAAGAGATTGGAAATGTCCTCTTACCTTTTGAGGTGCTTCATAACTTTTCAGCTCTTCTTTTCTGTGGGACTCAATATTTTTTTTCTAGGATACACGGGTGATTCTTATGTAGTATTATACTTACAAGACGCTGTTCTATCCCATTTTCATATCTGCGTCACCATAACTGCTTTCATGTCATCTTATGCAATTGATCTCTTAAGCTATCTGTACTTATTCTTGTTATTTTGTATGTACAGCGACTACTTTGACAAGTTGGCATCTTTTGGTCACATTTTGTTCCCTTCATGTGGCATTATGGATGAAGATGTTCGAACACAAGCCTTTTGATCCACGAGCTGTGATGGGATTTGGCATATTGAATGGGATATCCATAGGACTATTGAACCTCAGCCTGGGCTTTAATTCTGTCGGTTTTTACCAGGTATAGCTTTTTCATTTCAGCTACTGCATCATGTCATATCCATTTTTAACTTGTGTTGTTCTCACTTCTAACCCATCTTCTGTTCCTTTAATAATAGATGACAAAACTAGCAATCATCCCCTGCACTGTTCTCTTGGAGACCCTCTTCTTCAGGAAAAAGTTCAGGTTAGCACTCAAATTCTCTTCCATTAACACGTGAATGATTATTGATTCGGAGGAAGCTATTTCACATCAATTCTATCTTTTCTCATGGTCATGCATTTCTGGTTGACTTAATCCAAAGTTCTAATTTGATATACTGTGTAATAGTTGAGCAACTTAGTGATAGCCTTACGTCCTTTGTATTGATTATTCATCCTCATAAATTGTCATGGCTTCATGAGTTTCTCTAGCTAGTTTCTGGTTAAGGGCCTAGTTAATGACACCCTTATTTTTGTCTTTGCAGTCGAAAAATCCAGTTTTCATTAACCATCCTTCTCCTTGGTGTTGGAATTGCAACCGTCACAGATCTTCAACTTAATATGCTGGGTTCAGTCTTGTCGCTGCTGGCTGTTGTCACAACTTGTGTTGCTCAAATTGTATCCTATGCCTAGCCTTTCTTTTCTCATTGCTTTAGTCTTTCAACCTTCCTATATATCTTGTCTTAAACCAATCCGATGCTGTTATCTTAACCAATTGTACACAGATGACAAATACCATCCAGAAGAAGTTCAAAGTTTCATCCACGCAACTTCTGTATCAGTCTTGCCCGTATCAAGCAATCACTCTTTTCGTCACTGGGCCATTTTTAGATGGGCTCCTAACCAATCAGAACGTGTTTGCTTTCAAGTACACTTCTCAAGTAGTGGTGAGACTCAATCAATCTCCTAGGGATTCTACCAAACTTGTTTACTGATCTTCTTGCTTCCATGTCGATTCTGCATATTTACGAGTGCTTCTATGTTGATTGCAGTTCTTCATCGTCCTGTCCTGCCTCATATCAGTCTCTGTAAACTTCAGCACATTTCTTGTCATTGGAAAAACATCTCCTGTCACATATCAGGTTCTGGGACATCTCAAAACATGCCTGGTTCTAGCATTTGGCTATGTGTTGCTGCGAGACCCATTCGACTGGCGCAACATTCTTGGTATTCTGGTGGCTGTGATTGGAATGGTTGTTTATTCCTATTACTGCTCGATTGAGACTCAGCAGAAGGCAAGCGAAACCTCAACTCAGTTGCCTCAGGTATATATCTTCATCTCTTATTTATAAAAAAGGTGGTCCTATAAAAGAAATAATTAGATGAGTCCCTCAAATCATATTCCTTTTTATAGTACCATTGATTTTGCAATTAGATTGCAATCAGAAAGCATCAGTATCATAGGCATTGTTCTACTTCTTCAGGTCTATCTATATATACTGACTTGTTATATTACTTAATTTGGTTAATCGGTTTGTCAGATGAAAGAGAGCGAGAACGATCCTCTAATAGCAGCTGAAAATGGAAGCGGAGTGTTATCAGATGGTGGTGGGGGAGTGCAGCAAAAGACAGTGGCTCCTGTATGGAACTCAAATAAAGATTTTCAAGCCTAAAGCTTTGATCATCGCTATTTTTTTTTATATAATACCAACTCTCTTTGTATCAGATTTGTCCCCCCAAAAAAAACAAACTTTTTAATTTCTCTTTTTTTTCTTCCCTTTTAAATATGCATAGCAGAGAAGTAGGGGAGACTGAAAATCAACAACATTCCACACCATATGGAAAAAGAAGAAAGTAGAGAGTGAGGGGAAGAAAAGGGAACAGCTTTGAATTGATGATCCATTTTATTATACACAGCAGCTTTTTTGTCTTTTGTTTTTTGTTTTTCTTGTTTTTGGATTTAGTATTACAACTCTGTATTCAAAAGGCTGTGGCTATATTCATCAACACTGAAAACGTATATTTGATTTTAGACTCTTTTTTATGAAATCAACACCTACTCATTCTAGTGTCTTACCAACTTGTCTTTTTTCTTTTTCCATATATGACCAAACCATTTTGGATAAGAGTCAAAAAAGTTTCTGGTATTTATTAGTATATTATTATTGTAATACATGGAATGATGTTCACCAAAGCACCAGTGGTCTAGTGGTAGAATAGTACCCTGCCACGGTACAGACCCGGGTTCGATTCCCGGCTGGTGCATGAGCTGTGATGAAATTGGCTTCAGCGTTGGTTGGGTCCTTTGCATTCTTCTGATTTCTCAGATGTAATCGCCACACTCCTGAGCTCTCTTTTTTTTTTTTTTTTTTTTTTATTAATTCCTTGCATTTTAGTTTTGATTCGGTTTAAATCGAAAAAACGGAACAAAACGAAGATACACCACTTCCATATTCATTAGAGCTCTCAACCATACAAACTCTATTAATAACTTGTCATCTGCCAAAAAATAGCCTGCATATTCCACACAACCAACTCTGTTCAAATGAAACTCGTGGATTGACTGACACACACACACACATCATCATCATCACTTCATCATTAACAAAGAATATATCAAATAGAAATTGACACTTCTCAACATTACTACACTACAGAGCTTGAGAACAGAACGTTTACAGGATCCTTCACATTAGATAATACTCAAAAAGATAGTTCACCCTTTTATGTTTGACAGCGACTGCCAATTACACTGGTTGCATTTAGGTTTCAACACATCAAAAAATCAAAAGCAAAAAATACCAAATTTCTTGTTTTTTTGTTTTTTTTATGGATATCCCATTGCATTCCATGTCCGCCATAGAAGCCTAGACAGGAAGAAATAATTGCTCTGTTGCCTTCAGCGCCAAAATGGTTGGCATGGCACAGCTCATCTAATCAAATTCTCTGCTTAATCCTAAGAACCATCTGCTTTGGTCAAGAAACATCAACAGGTCTCTTTTGGATAACTTGTTCATGGTGTATGATGTCTGACACTTTGCTTGGTGGCCAATAGCGAAATACAGATCTCCCTATGATGTTCTTTATTGGAAGTGGACCCCTGCGTTTTACATTCACCACATCATCCATGAATCAACAGAGTTCCCACAACTGAGACAGAACAACTAAGTATTATATATATTCCAAAGTGGTTACCAGTTATGAGAATCAAAGCTTTTGTTGCGGTTGTCTCCTAGGACGAAGACATAACCTTCAGGGACAAACTGCAAATAAACAGGAAAAAAAAAAGAGATCAAGTTAGCAGCATTCTTGTAATAACTTTTAGGTTAGGAAGACATTAAATTAGCAAGTGCATGTTTGCTTACCATTGGTTCCATTTCATAGTCAATTGGCTCTAAGACAAAATCCTCTGCTTGAACAGTGTCATTTACTAAGAGCTTTCCATCACAAACCTATATGATACAGCATCGATAGGTTAGACAGGTAAATAACAACAACAGATACAAAGGTTAAGGATCTGTTTTGAGGAGGCTGGTCATCAAGAAGCCACTACAGACGTAAGACTGATAAAGGAGAGTGATGACTTCAATGGATTAATAGGATCAATCAACAAGTGGATTAGAGGTAAGGGCTTACTTCAACCCAGTCACCTTCGCTAGCAACAATCCTTTTTATAAAAACATCAGCACAACTGTAACCATGTTCCTGCAACTCAGGAGAATATCAAACACCTTTGAAACAGGTTTAAGAACATTTGAAAAACCAGAAATGGTGATTTGATATATATATACCACCAAAATAGGAGGAGCCTTGAAGATAACTATGTCTGAAACCTCTGGCTTTCTGAAAAGGTATGAGACCTGTCCAACACCAAAGCAAATAGACAGATTTGTTCAAAATGGTTAGTGCAGATCAATCAATTAAAAGATTAAGCCACATCACCAATTAACATAGTAATGTGCATCCTAGCTATTTCTTATATAAGAACAAACACATCTAAGACCATTTCCCATAACAAATTTTAGTCCCTACAATGCAGAATCGGTTAAAGCCACCATTTTTAAAACCTCTCAAGATCAAATATCATTCTACGGTCACAATCAAGAACAGAACAAACCAGTATTCTCACCTTCTCAGCCATAACACGATCACCCACATCGAGAGTAGGAAGCATAGATGTTGAAGGTATAGACTTTGGCTCAGCCAAAGCCGATCGGAAAAGGAGAGAAACAGTAACCGCCGTGAAAGCTGCCTTAGCATCTTCCGAGCAGATATTCAACAGCTTATTAACCCAACCGTTACCACCATTAGAGACTTTATCACTCAACTCCAACTTCACTTTAGCATCACACACCTTTCCTCCTCTATCAACCTCAGTAATATCCGTTGATAACGTCGCCGGAATACTACAAGGCATCCACTTGGAACCCCTAAGGAACGGGATAACAGAAGAAGTCTTAAAGGGAGAGATCCCGAGACCGGTCATACCCGAGAGCTGTGGAGCAGCTCCTGTCAAATTCATGAGAGAGATCATCCCCAACACAAGTGGACTCTTGCTTCCTTCTTCGAGGATTTCCCTCGCAATGGTGCTATACATCGACGAAGCTGGTCGAGCACGAGGGCTTGAGCATGTGTTGGATCCGGGAGATTTATCAGCAATATCGGGTATCTGATTGTGGCCGCAGAATCTGGGCCGAACCCATGATTCGAAGCATGAGCGAACGTCGCCGGTGCCGACACGAGTCCCGGCGGAAGAAGCAATGCTCCTAGCAACATAGCTGGAGTAGGTGAAGGTAACCCTAATCGCCATGAAATGCAGATTTTGATGAAGGAATTGGACGATGTTAGGGTAAATTGAGGTTTCGATGAGCAAGTAAGGGTTTTTTCTAAGGCCTAAGGAAGATCTAGAAAGAATAAGGAATCAATTGTTGAATTAACCGGAAATTGGAAGAGTCGATCTGCCGGAGAGATAAACGAAGATCTTATGCCGCCGGCGAGATCGAGTTTTATTTTTCAGGTTAGGAAGCGAAGGCGCGAAGAAGATGGAGAGAAATCTGGAGATCTCCCAGAGGAGAGGAGAAGGTTTGGTCGATAGCAGAGAGAGTCTCTTGTTCTTGTTGAGTCAAATACATTTCGGGCCTAAATGGGCCTTCAAATATACAATTTCCATTCATGTCCTAAAATTAAATATGCAAGAATCATAGACTATATAAACATAACATTGACGAAAATAGATTTTGAACAATCTAAATTCTATACAGAATATAATAAAATTGATAGAATACTTTGACGACTGACTTCTCAACATATTGCAATATAATCAATTTTGATCGTAAATTTAGGTGTTTACAAATAAAAAATATACTTTATGCCCACTAAAAGTATATGTAAATAAATAAACCTATATACATGTAATGTAGTTAGGAATTAGAGACGTAACAAGGTTGGGTTCTGGGACAGAAGTTTGTGAAATGCATAAAAAATAGAAAGTGATCGCAGCACATACATCATTCGTCCGAAACTTCTTTGATATTTCTTAATTAATTAGTATTGCAATTCTTATAAACAGCGAGTACTTAGTCGTTAACTTAGTTGGGTTGAATTTGACCACAACCTAACTCTAAGATAATATATTCTGTTTCGTTTTTGTTCACAAATTATTTTTTTAGCTTCTTTAAGGTCTCACCGAAATAGCCAAACACTAATCTCTCGTCGTCTCCCCAAATGCTTAATTTTATTTAATCAAATATTTCATATTTTTCTTAAGATGTCTCATGTCTCGAGGCTAAAATACGAATTAGAAATTGTCTACTGCATGTTTTGTTTTTGACAGTTTTGTGGGGTCAATTTACTTGTTAAATAGGTACTAGTTTACATGTGTTTTTCTTGGGTGATTTCCAATTTCGATTTCATAGAAACAAACATTATATATGATATCTTAAATGTGGGTCTATTCTATATGATGTTTTAAAACTTTGTATCTGTCATCAAAGCACCAGTGGTCTAGTGGTAGAATAGTACCCTGCCACGGTACAGACCCGGGTTCGATTCCCGGCTGGTGCATGAGCTGTGATGAAATTGGCTTCAGCGTTGGTTGGGTCCTTCGCATTCTTCTGATTTCTCAGATGATATCGCCTCACTCCTGAGCTCTCTTTTTTTTTCCTCAGATGCACAAACAAACGTCTCTCTGCTTTTGCAGTCACAAAATTTACTCTGCTTTTGCAGTTACAAAATTTACTCTGCTTTTATATAAATAAACAAGAAAAGTCTCATTCCCAGTGGGATAAACAAAAGAGTGTCTGACTATGCAAGTTGAAGGGAAAAAATCTTGAATCTGAAGTTTTCCAGCCAGAGAGATGGCTAGCAACAGTGATTTTAGTCGCTGCAAAGCCTGCAAAGAAGAAAGAAATAGACAGAGCTTCCTCAAGGTTCTCCAAAGAGTAGATCTTTCGTCTGAAAAACAAGGTAACAATGTTCTAAACTCTCTGTTATGCAAGTTCTTGCTAGCTACTCTCCATGTTCTTATGTTATGCAAGTTCTAGTTCTTGCTAGCTTTGTTTGGCTAGTTTGAAACTTTTAGTTCTATCTAACAATGGGCCTTGTCTTATCGCTAGCGGTCTTTCAAAGGTGAAACATTTTCGTTAACTGTTGTCTCACTAACGATGATGGATATGGGGGTGTCTTGGAGAAGAAGCTACTGAATAATCGAACTGGTGTTTATTGGTGTTGTCCTAATCAAACTCATTATTATATGTTTGAGTGACCCCAAAATCAAACTATCAATTGGGAATTTGGCTGGACATATATATATGGAAAAACGTTCGATGACAACGCACAAGAAACTTTGGTTTGTGAATTTATTAAGCAACTGTATCTCCTTTTGAAATAGAATAAAACGTAGCAAACATCATTGTATACAAAGGAAAATGAAATTTATTAGTCTCCTTTGTTCATTGAAGAACAAACAATGGGAGTAGCAAACAATGAAACTCACAACACATTACCAACACAATTTTATACGTTCTTTCTTCCACAATGGCACCTCAAAA